AGCATATGGAAAATGAATTAATGAAGCTGTCAGGAAGGCATGGACATAACTATAGAATACTCTGTAATAACAGGTGAGCAATGTAGCTGTTGGACTATGCATGTTATTCGTATACGTATGATAGAGATACAAATTTCAGTCTGTGCTTCAAGTTGCATTGCCTTAACTCCTAAGCTGTAAAGCTTAATCGAAATCTGGAAAAGTATAACAACTTTTACTAACAAAAACTTTATTTTAAAGTTAACTGAAATTAATTTTTGGCTCTAAGTATTTTATATACAGCAAATTAAAAGTTCCTAAAAGACCAAAGTAACGACTCATCTAGACTAATCTACCCCTTTAATTAATTGCAGCTCACAGTCAAGCTCATTTTAATCACGAAAAAAAACTTATTTACTCAGCTGTGAGCTAGTAAAAATTGGCTGGAACAAAAGTTATAATAAAAGCTCTCCCGTTTATATTTAACTCAGTTTTTAAAAAAGTATTGATCGGAAGCCATTTTGAAGGGTTTCTTAAAGTTCGCTGTTAAGCACAGATTTCGTTACGGTTATAAAAATAAAACTTTTCAGTTAATTTTCAAGGCGAAATAAAGTTGACTAAAAAGCGAAGAAGAAATATAAGGCGTAAGACAAAGATAAAGCTAACAAGAAACCAATGTAAAAGCAATTTACAAGCCTTTTACGAATTGGCAAAAGGAAAGTCATTTAAAGTTGGCTACATATACACTTACATATATATATATATGTATGTTATGGCAGCCGAGAACCCCTATTTATGCCACAAAGAATCTCACCAATACAGACACACACACACACAGGGACTGTTGGGCATAAAGAAATGTTGAATATAGTTTCGTTTCGTTTCGTTTCGTTTCGTTTTGTCCATTCGAAGGAAATGAGCAAGACATTGAGTCACCTCTTGACTGTGTGGGTGTGGATGACTGTGTGTGCCTGTGTGTGTATAATGTGGTGTTGTGTTAAGAGTGTGAGCAAAAGCAATCAAAATACACACTCACACACACGCAGAGACAAAGACAAAGATAAACAGAGGCAGACAAGCAAAATATTGGCTTTGCTACCCGCTGAAAAGAAGAAGAGGAAGGAGCAAGGTGATGCAAGGCGCTGGGAGCTGGAGCAGGTGTGTGTTTGGCATTTTATGAGCGCTCAAATGTATGCAACAATAAATTAAATCAAAACAGTTAAATTTGACCTTGGCCAGGGCAGAGGCGGCGCCGCCGGAGCAGCACAAATGACACGTTTGGCGGTCACTTAATGCCAATTGCCGGCGCTGCAGCGGGGGCCATGAACTTTGCAGCTGTATGTGTGCATGCGTGTGTGTGTCAAGGCAGGAGCGGCGCTATCCCTTGACGCTGCATGTGTGCATCAGCGCAAACAAGCATAACGAAGCCAAGCTTGAATGGCATTATCCTTGGGGATGTTGCAGCTGAGCTTTAGCTAGCTGAGGCGTTGCACACAACGGAAGCACTTTATTATGCCGCCAAATTGAAATAATATGCAACAACAACAGCAACAGGGGAAAACAATTTAGTAAAGGATGCAGTGCGTCCATTGTGCACATCCGCGGGTCATGCACACTCCCACGCCCCATGTCACGTGTCGCAGCTGCATATTGTTTGACGTTTACTTTTGTATTTTTGTTTTTCTTTTTCTTTTTTTACAAACAACATGAAATGAGCCCCGGCACTGGACGAGGCGGCAGCATCATTAACATTATGTAAGCAGTGGCAGCCGGCGACACTGACAGCCAAGCAGCTACCCATGGCAAACATACGTGTGTGCCCCTCAGTGAGTGTTGCTAACCTCTGAAGTTGTAATTTATGCTCCAGCAAAAATACTGCACAAAAAGCAGGAAGCTTCGCACGTAACAGCCACAGCTACAATAACTAGACATTTGAGCATGTGTGTGTGTATGTGTGCGCTCCATGCACCGTTACAAATCGGCTTGCTATATGCTATACATAAAACATGATGTCTATAATTCATAGGCAATTCCAATTATTTTCTTAGTTAACCAAGCAAGCAAACAATAAATTTCATTGGAACAGCTATATATAAATACATATATGTGTATAGGTAAGGCTATAAGGTAGCTGGATATTGATAAGATATAGCCTTAATTGTAGACGAACACAGCGAAAGCCGTTAAATGTTGAGTAGGCTAATGAACCCTTTCAAAGAGTGAGTCTGAAATAGAGTTTGAACACCTCCTAGTCGAATGGAATTCTATGATAAAAATATTAGTTATATAACATGGTAAAGCAGCTCGAATTTCGCAGTCAACCTTCCTATAAGGAATACCGGTGTGAGACTCTACGGCACGGACTTCAACAAACACAACTCAAGTCCTGCAAAATAATCTAGAAACTGTCCGTGCATTCAAACCACACCGTAAATAATTTGACTATCAACAACAGGTAAAGATTGAAGAGATTACGTCCCGAAGAATGAACAAATTTGAATGTGTATACTGGCATAAGGGATGCGTAATAAAATCTCAGACAATAAGCTGCAACAAACGAACTAAATAAAAATATAAAAAATAAATAAATAAAAACTAAAGCTGAAGCTTAAATCAAATATCGTATATATTATATATAAAATATTTATGTATCATAAATAGCATACACATCTGCTGAAGTCCAATGCATTCCCTACCCACAGCATAAATGTATGTTGACATACAAATGTAAACATAGACATAAACAGAAGCGCATGCCATGAGCTTCAACTAATCCGGATCAAGAAGGGATAGATATAAAAATATGTATATATATTTATATATAAATACTGTATACACTCCATAGAATTCAATATACCTTCTTCAATCAAGCATAACTTTTATACACAATCAGAATTTTCAACTGAAACAAGTTTCTCTATAGTTTGATTTTGGGAGAAAAACATAGCATACTTTTCTGCTGAACTCCATGAATGAACATTTGTATAAGTTTGAATCAAATTTCAAAGCTTTTTATTCAAAAGAAGCCTTCACAAAAATACATTTTAAGCAGCTTCTAAAGTTGAGTTAAGTTTTTGAAGGAAGAAAGTCTAGCCAATTAGATAATTAAATGGGAATTAAATATAATACAAAATGTCACAAAAGTTAGTTTATTATATTAGCGATGTGGTAAACAATATAAACAATTTAATGGGATGGCAGGAGATGAGATTTATTTTTCAGCTTGTTTTTCTGTTTGACCAGACTAAGCCCAAAGCAAAGCGAACAAAAATTATATTAAAAAACGCTTCAAAATGTTTTTCTTTTTGCTCAACTTTAATGTCGAAAGAGGAAGTCGCCTTCCGTTGCTTAAGCTCATCAGTTTGCCATACATATATACACTTTATATGTATATATATATATATATATATATGTATATATTATTGTACATAAGAACAGTCACCTGGTAACGCAACGCTGCGCAGCAAAAACTTTTGACCAAACTGCATCAGCGAACTTCTTATAAAGTCTATAAAACGTAATGACTCGCGCTACATGCGCGCCAGAAATATGCAACAAAAGTTTTTCTGTGACTTTCAAGGCGAGAATCTTACGCGTGGCAGCAGCGAATAAGAAGAAGTATAAAACGAATATGCCACATAAGCCAACTGCCACTCAGAGATGGGACAACATTTACATAAAATTAAGATACAATTAGAGAATTGAAGCCATGCAAAGTGAAAACTTGTGTTCTGAATACCTTCTTATTATACTGAAGTAGGGTATACGTTGGCTGGAGGTACTTAAATTGGTTACACAGTGGGGGAGAGAGTGTCAAGAGGAGCCAGCTTGACTAGCGCTTGTAACAAAATTTCAAATCGCAGACATGGAAATGCACGATTGATTCGAAGTACAGTAAGGTCACGATTGAGAGAACAACTGCTTATAGCAAAGATGTGTACTCAGAGAATTATAGCATTATGTATAAAAACTATAGAAAAACATATATGTATATACATATTTATATAAAAATTAGCTAAAAATATTGAATTTAAATAATATTAAAATAGCTCATAAGCAAAACATCACCATTTTGTTTACAAAAATTAGCTTTCAGTTCCATTTTTGTAATCTACTTTACTTTACTAGCAAATAAAAACATATATTTTAAGAGCATTTTGCTATAAAATATATAAACTCATCCTCAATGATACATAAAACAAAAGCTGTATTGAGCAACAACAATCTGAGAGCAAGGATTTTTTATATACCATAAAACTTTTTATGCACGCACGTTATTAAAAACTGTTTGCAAAGTAAACTTCTCAAATAGTTGGAAACTGCAAAACTTTAAGCCGGCTAAAGGTATTTGCCTTCATATGCGAGCGCTCACTGTAAATGCAAACGGAATTTGCATGCAATGTCGCGTCTAGTGCGTGTGACTGAATGCGTGCATGTGTGGGTGTGTGTCGGTGTGTGGTTGTATTTGAATTTCAATTCGCTGACAAAATGACAGCTATTTATATTTGTCGCTGAATACGTATGAAGCGGGCGAGCAAGTCTGAGTCTCAGTCTGGCTGTGGCACTTGCCGAGCTGATGTACAGATTAGAAATTAATCGAATTTTGCTGTCAAATCGAGGCAATATCAGCCAAACAGGAAGTGCCAGCGTCGCCGTTGGCATGGCAATGCAAAACAGTCAGCCGCATGCCAATACAGACACACATACGCAAGCAGAAAGAGAATGGGGGAGAGAGAGAGAGCGCGTAAGTTGGTTACACCTACACACACAGACACTGACAGACAAAGAGCTGCCCAGCCAGCCAGCCAGACAGAGAGACAGAGCGACAGGCAGACTGTTAGTCGGCACTGACACTGAATGTTACGCAGATGTCGGCAATGGCTGCCGTTAAAAATACCGTAACATTGCCGCACTGACTGATTGACTTTCCACCCAAAACAAAATAACAAAAAAATAAAAAAAGAAAATACAAAATTACATAAATTTACTCAAGTTACGTTGCGCGACTTCTTTTTACTCACCTGTTCCACTGTTGTCGACATTTTGATTGCGCTTTCCTTGGCTTTGTTGCTGTTGTTGCCCCTTTGCGTCTGCTTCTTTGTGTTTTTCTTTTTCAACCACTGTGCTCACAACGGTTCGTTGTTGTTATTGCTGTTGCTGTTACACACACACACACACACTATATTTCACCGCACATTTTCTTGTTGTTGTTGTTTTGTTGTTGCTGTTTTACGCAGAATTTTGATTTTACACTCGATTTTTAGTTTTTGTCTTTTTAATAACAATGTTTAATTTTGCGTATTTGTCGCGACGGCAAGCATTTGCTGCTCCTAGCTGCTGCTGGCGACGGGGTTGTGCTGCTAAAATCAACTAAAAGTATTTTTTTCCATGTTGGCAGGATAATATCCTGCTTTGGAGTAACTCTGTTAAATGACTGCCTTTTCTGTTAAATGGTGCAGCTTTTGCGCATGTTGTACTTGCGTTGCTCACATTGCGTTTACGTTGCTCACACTGCGCTTACGTAATTTGCTTCTCTTTCGATTTTGGCGCTCATTGCTTTCATGAGTTTTACAAACATTTCAATACATTTTATCGACTCTCACATTTACGTTCATTACGTACGTAAGGTAGTTTAGTTTAAAAAAAATAAAGTACATAAATTTTTTCTTGTTTTATTGATGATTTTCTTTTAATACTTTTTTATTTAATATGGTTATATTTTAAATTCACTTTTTAAACTTATAGTAGGTCTATTTACAAATTACTTTAGTTTTCAGCTATCACTTAAAGTTGTGCCTTGAGTCTGGCGACGCAGCACGATTAAGATGTTACGGCTGGCTCGTCTTCTCCCAGAAACTCGTTAATATAGTTCAGCCAATCTGTCACATCCTCAAAGCGCATGACTTCTAGCAGAATACGTCGTAGATATCGCAATTGTCGTATGTCGCCTCCATAACGCTCAGCCATGGTGCTTATGCTGATCTTAGCCACAGGAAGATTCACTTTGGGCCTGGCCAAAATAACTTTTGCGTTGATACGATGCTTCCAAGTATGCGCCTCCTTTTGCATCTCATCGAGCATAAAGATTTTCCCCACATCCCCAGTGACCACGCCCACGGGAGTGGCCAACGGACTGCTTGTTCTCGTCTGCAGCTGTTGGACAGGTGTTTTAGTTTTTATATACCTCCAACACGCTTGCAAATTGAACCAGTTGCAATAATCCTGCAGCGCATTGAGCATGATTTTAAGGTAATCCTCTCTTGAGAGCTGTTCGTTGTTCGACTCGTCGATGGCACTGCGCGGCTTGTATTTGAGCCAACGCTTTAGCTTCAGCTCCTCGCACACCTTCTCCGGCCCGAATGCCGCATCGGAACAGTAAAATAATCTTAGGAAATGATCCGCAAATTCATAACGTACATAGGGTTGACTTAGCAGCGGGATGGTGCGTATATAACTGTTGAGATCGGAGGGATTTTCTACTTTAAATAACTTAAAGAACTCCGCTATAAGCCGACGTGTCTGAGGTCCCAAATTGGGATATATTATCGAGTTGTTGACATACTCCAGCTCGGCTGTGTTGCTAGCCTCCATCAGCAGCGAGACAAAGCGCTGCAATATTAGGAAGGAAATTTAGTTAATGTTATATATAGATATAGATTTGTATGATATATCTACCTCTAGAATACTTAAGCGGTCTGCATACAAAGACTTAGCTACTGCACGACTATAAACACGCAGCAGCTTTTGGGCTACATTCGTTAATCTTTTGCCCTTTGTAATGCCAAAGACGAGTAGCACAAATGGCTTGGAGTCCTCTTGAAAGATCTCTGGCTCGGTTTGCTGTAGACGATTGTGATCAAGCCAGGCCAGAAATTCCCGCTCCAATACCCAGCAAATCATGTCCAAAGCATCGCAAAGACGTGCCAGCTGCACGGCTGGCGACATGGCCTTAAACTCATCTACCCATTGCTTGCCGCTCTGCCAATCGTAATCCTGCACATGACGCTGAAACACATCCTCTGGGCTCAAATTCGAGTTATCCTCTGCACTATAATCATGAACGAATTGCTCATAGTAAGGCGTTAGCTGACTTAGCTCTGTTTCGTTACATTTGTTCAGACAATCTTCAAACAAATCCAATAACAGCTTTAGCTTTTGAGGCTTATCACTCGTAACTCCCAAGAAATTAAGATAATACGGACGTAAAGCTGTCCAACAGGGAGGAAATGCATCCACTAGCAAATAGTAGATCCGTATGACATTTCGATATCTGCTGTGCAGCTCTTTCAGGGTCAAGCTCTTGGTGTTGAGTATCTAAAAGTAAATAATATTATATATAAGAAATCAATTTTAACTATTCTCTTACCATTATCATATCGAAGAGTCTATCGAAAACGGCTTCGTCTGGATAAACTGACTGCAGCGCCATCATTTCCAATATATCCAAATATGTATCGTAATGCTGTCTATATAGATTATTGCGCAGCTCTTGAGCTATACTGATATCCGGTGCATCTGGCAGCATGGCACAGCGATGTCTGCTCACACATTGGCTCGTGTTGTGCAGGCATTTGGGCACACAGGCGCTCGGCAATCGTTGCTCACTCTTCATATACAAATTGGAGATGATCACGCGCAGATTCCACTTTAGGTTGTGCTTGGATAGGGGCTCGGTGAGGGGGCGACTTATTGGTGCAACTACTGTGGATGTATCGTCATCAGTATCTGGCTCTTGCTTTGGCGCTCCGGCGTCCTCCTCTTCGGCTGATTCAATCATCTCGCTGTCCGCATCGTAGCGTGCGTCTTCCGCTGATTTAACTGTTGTAGAACGTTTCTCTGTTTCATTTTCAATTGAATTGCTCGCAATCTCATCTTTGGCATCAATCGCTTCATTTTTAACTAAAATATTAGAATTGTTTGGCGACACTGACATCGTTCTTAAATGTAAACAAAATTGTTTTGCACAAATTGCTAGCCGGTTTGTAAGCGATAATTTCAAGTCATCGACTTATCGATAGGTTTAAGACATGTATGCAGCTGTGCAAGAAACAAATTCTATGCAATTAAATAGTACAAATAAGTAATAATATGGAAGTGAGATTAATGAATTGGTAGAGCTATATTAACGTATGAAAATTATTATTTTATTTGATTATTATTAGTCAACTTTATTTCAACAAGTTAACATGCTGTATTCTGCGCTGCCTGCTTTCTCTAATTGTGGCGGCTAGACACCAACACGTTTTACAACACTGTCAACGATAGCAGCGTATCGTTCGCTCAACGCGCGCAATTTGAAACTGGCATGCAAGATTCTCAGAGAATATATTTAAAAAATATAAAATGCAAATTAATATCGGACCACCTGTTGCCTGCAAGCAGAACTAAACCTATGCATAAATTACATGTCAAGAAAAACATGGAAGCTAATGTCGTGCACGAGCAAACAGAAAAAATAGAAAAAAGCAACCAAATTTAGAATTTAAATATAGCAATTAGGCTGATTTATGCAGCCCGTTTGCAACTAACATTAATTGCCGCCAACAACAAGTGCCCCAATGTCCATTCGAGCCTGAGAATTGTGGCGCCGCACACACACACAGAGAAACACACATTTGAATACGTATGTAAATTTTTGGTACAAAACCAAAGTCGAGCATGTGAAAACTGAATTTCCACGAAAAGTTGTCGCTGCATGCAGTCGATGCAATTAGCCAATGCTTTTTTTGGCTCCGTTTCGATTTGGTATTTTAAGACAGCGCTGTGCCCAAATCCAACTACGAAAAAGCAGCCCCCGCAGACGTTATTAACTCGCATATCTGTTGTCTTATATTTTTCGACTTCTTTTTCAGTTAGTTAAGTAATGAATTGCCTTAAATGTCAATTAACTGCTGCTTTAATCAACGCCAATTATTTGTTCTTCGCTATAATGGAGGCACATACGTATAAGTCAACCAGTTAATTGCCTTGTTATTAGACGTTTGCTTTTGGCTATCCTCTATTTATTTAATTGCTTCGATTATTATCGCAGCGATCTATCAAAATTGCGTACACAAAGATTTGTGCCATTTACAATTTGCATGCAAATTGAAGCTTTAATTAAGTTATTGAGCATTGAAATCGAAAATCTTTAACGTGGGCAGCCGTTTGGGGCTGGTTCTGCTATTACGCATAGTTGACGTCGTTCTGAAAAGGTGCAGCTCGCTCAGATGCTTCGATAATAGCACACAAAGTGAGCTCTTAGTAATTTAAGTCTCGGGTGGAGCAGTTAAATAGTTTGCATAAACTTTACATAGCTTGTTTCAATATATTTGTATTTTGTTTTACTTATATTTATGTAGCACAAATCTTAACTTGAAATAGTCTCAAGCAGTGAATATATATTGTAGATTGTAGATTGTAGATTTTATTGATCAGCAAACTTTTGATTCTCATAAACCTCTCATGCTCAACATGCAAAGTATCTTTATCTTGTATATTGTTCAGTTACACCTCGATGCCCTCTTCAGTGTCGAGAATTAGAGAAGGTCAGATGTGCGGAATATGCTGCCTGCAGCATCATTAGGTTAAGGGATTTGGGCAAAAACCTTGTTCAATCTTTCAAAGTGATTTTATATATGATATCTTCCAGATGCAAATGTAACATTGATTCATGATGGTAGTCGTAATGCACATGGAACACAGAGTTCATCTTGTGTATATGTCCTTAACATGTAATACAAATATAAAATAGCTTAAAAAGAGACTTTTGGCAAATGAACTAGAAATACAACAGCAGTCAGTAGAAAGTATCTATAAGATACATAGTGTGAGCTGTCTACATCCTGATCAGTTAAAAAAGAGATACTTCTGAAGCCCAAGCATAATTTATCTCCAGCTAGGGAGGACAATTTCTGGTCACATGTTAAATTAGCTTTCCATAACACATTAATCTGCCGATAAATTAGCCGCAATGCAATTGTTCCGCTAAAACTTTTCTCGCACTCATTTATACAATCGGCAGCTGTTAATGCGCCTTGACGATTGGCAATTAAAATTGCATTTTCCAGCTTGGTTTATCAGATGTCTACGTGGCACGACATATGCCAACTGACCTATATAAATATATACATATGGTTGCTGTGCTGCGAGAGTCAAATCTTGGTCAGTGGTGCGATTGTCAGATAGCCAGAGGCTGTCGCTGGCTGGCTACCGGTTGAGCTTAGTTTAGTTTGTAGTTCGCTGTTGAAGTCTTTCGTTTTTGGCCAGCCAGCAAAAACGCAGGCAAATTAGTCAAAAAAAGTTACAATTATATAAAAATCTAGTTATAGTAAGCTATATATATATAGAGCCATATAAGCTATATGTATATTTATATATGTATCCAAGTGCCAAGTGGGCGTTGCATGTTTGCCTTTCACTTTCTAGCGCCGCAGCTGGCAGGATATTTATAAATCTATATATATATGCTCGCTATGCTCGATTATATAATAGACTCTGCCCAGATACTTGTCTCTTTTAATGCTTTTTGCTTAGCTCATAATTAGCTGAACTTTGCAAACAACTGCAAACAATGTTGCCTGAGCGGCTGTTGTTGTAGCTGCTGCTAAGACTGCGGCTCGGCTGCTTGTTGTTCAATTGAGACATTATTCAATTTGTGACAGACGCGAGAAAATTTAACGGCCATAAAAATAACAAAAGCAAAGTCGGCTAAATGCGACCCCAAATTGACAACAATTAAAGCCATTTATTTTGGCCATTTCCCAAGGCGTTGCTGTTCTCGATTTCGGTTACAGCCCACAACGACTGTAAGCGAGATTGGGTATGCATGACTGCAGGATACTCAGCTATGTATTGGGCTACAGGCAGATATTGATTCTACGAAATAATTTAAATTGAATTATTTTTTCTGTAAGAGTTATTTCCCTTATCTGCTATAGGTATAGATAATGATCTATCAAGTTTCAATTCTGCGACGAGGTATCTTAGTCATTTGCACTCTACAGCCAATATACCCCTTTGCCCACTTGGTTTAACTATCACAATTGCGACAACAAACATTTGTTGGTCGATCTGCTCGACGTTTAATGAGCACCAAAATTGTAAATTTAATTTATATCGTTTGCAGCGCTTTTTGTCAGACGACAAATTTCGTAATTTCTGCACTATTTTATATTGAACGACAGAAAAAAAACTACAGTTGTTGTGTGTAAACTATGCCGACTCAGCGTGGACTCTGGCCTGGTTGCATGTCAAAGGTGCATAAAACATGCCGCCAAGAATCGAAAACGTAGCGCATTGAATCGCGTCGTCTGTGTGAGTCCGGTTCTGTGCCATTTTTTGGACTGGCTTTAATTGGCACCTCGACACCACTCACTGCATCGTGTGTCTGTGTGTGTGTAGGTGCACTTGATAGTGGTGCATGGCTCACATTGCGTCAATTTATGTGACACGCATTTTGTGCATTGTCAAAACTGAAATACGCGCATTTGTTTTCGCACATTGTAACACGTTTGCAAGAACTGGATGACAAATATTGCTGCTGCTGCTGCTGCTGCTGTGCCACAGCTGACAGCAGCAACTGTTGCAGGTAGTCGCCAGCAGCAGCAACTGTTCAGACCGTGGATAGCCGTCGCTTGGTCACGCAATGCGTTGTGACATTGAGTTACGCACGTTGAAAAATATTGAAAAAGATCTACTTTGCTTGAATTTGATATCTTGCGAGATATTTCAACTTTATGCTCGTAGCTTGGTAGTTTATGCAGTTATTAATTGCGAGTATCAAATCAATTTGCTGTGCAGCTGTTTGAGGGTCTCAAAGAATTTAGTTGGTTAATTTCGTATCAACCTCATATTGTTATTAAAGGCATTTTTATTATTTTTTGCCTATTGAAGTTTTTTTAAACTATAAAACTCTGCGGAACAAAGGTCAAAGCCACAAGCTGCCGCAAAAACTAGTCAGCCCAAAAGTTGTAGAAGCAGAGCTTCAATTCTCTGCTCATGTATTCTCTGTATCATGTTCTACTATAAAATGCTGAGGAGAAACTTTGAAACTTTTTAATTAACTTTCGAAAGATTTACACTTTTAAATGTTTCTTCCTCTTCTTAGCTATACACCTAGCTTTCCTCAGTCAAGTTCTTTAAGTACATCTCATGTAAGCTATGTCTATCAATTTTACTCTACCGCTAGATCTGTCTGTAGATCTCGCTCTAGCTCTTCATCTCCCACTCTCTTTAGATCCCTTTCTGGATCTCACTAGATCTTTCATTCATTCCCTTTCTAGATTTCACTATCGATTACACATTACTCTCGAAATAGCTATTTTTCTCTCTCTCTAGACCTCTATCTAATTCCCTCTGGAGATCTCTCTCTCTAGATCCTTCTGTATATCTGCCTAGATATATCTCTCCCTTTAGATCTTTCTCCATCTCTAGATCTCTCTCTCTCTGAATTTCTCTCTCAATATCACTTTGTATACCTTTGTCTAGATCATCCTTAAAATCTCTCACTCTCTCTCTGTCTCTCTCTCTCTCTTTATATCCTTAGATTTCTTTCTGAACCTTTCTATAGATCTCTCTCACTCTCTCTCTCTCTCTCTCTCTCTCTCTCTCTCTCTCTCTCTCTCTATCTCTCTCTGTCTCTCTCTCTCATTCTACCGATCTCTCTATAAATCTTCCTCTACATGACTCTCTCTCCCTTTCTCCCAATCTTTCTCTAGATCTCTAGATCTGCTTCTAGATTTCTCTACAGATTTCTCTCTTAAGATCTCTTTCTGCATCACTTTCAATGTCTTTCTAAATCTCCTTCTAGATCTCTCTACATCGCATCTTAGATCCCTTAATTCTCTTCATTCAAATTTATTTGTTTAAACACACTGAATAACTGTAAACTTAAAATGTTTCAAATATTTTTACTTCGCTTACGTAGAACACACACAGAAAACACGCCAAAGCATGCGGCTAATGGAACCGCTTTTACTTGCACTCGCATTTCAATTTCGTTTTCATTACATTTCTGTGTGACTGTGTGATTGAAAGTGTAAGTGTGTGTGTATGTGTATGTGTGTGTGCCTGTCTCGCTTTGCTGTTGCAATCACTGGAGCTGTAGCTGTAGCTGTAGCTGACCAGAGGCTGACGAGACAAATGAAAATGAAATCAAAGCTAAAGACAAGCCAGAGCAGTTAATAGTGAAAATGGGGGAACTGAAACTGGAAACTGGCAACTGGGCAATGCGAGATGTGAAGCTGTGAGCTGTGAGCACTAAGCTGTTAGCTGTTAGCTGTGTGTTCGCTGTGGCCCGCTTGCCGTTGAGTGAGACTGGAACGTTGTTCAACTTACATAATCACTAGAGATAGAAACAGAGCACAGCAGCGGCGCAGCGAAAAAATTGCAATTTATTGCAAGAAAGAAATCTGCCAGACATTGTCTACACTCTGCCTGCTAGGCCTCTGCGAAACTCCTACTCGTTGTCTGGCTGACTATTTAGGCCTTTTGTCTGGCTGGCTGGCTGGAACGAAGCGCGTTCGCATTTTGGTCAGCAAACATGACTTTTTGGCATGTGGCTTAGTTTTGCTTTTAATAGACTTTGATTGCACAGTTTGTTGTCCCTCATGCCAGGCAAACAGCGACAGCTACAGCAACAGCAATGACAACGATTTGCATTGCAACATGGCGCAGCAGCATAAGTCATAATGCAATGGCACATTATTTGGCTCATTCGCGTTTGCGTGCCTCGTCCGCTAAAGGGCACAAAACGAAAGACTTAGGCAACGAACTGCTGCTGCTGCGTCTTAATTACGACTACCATAAAACTAAAATCACAAAAAAAACTTGCGAATTGCAATTGCGATGAAAGATGAGCAATGAGCGATTCTTCTAGCCAGCAGCAGCAGCAGCAGTAAAAGCCAACCCAACCAATGCGGCATTTGTGTAATGGGTAATTAAGCGCCTCGTCGTCAGCTAACAACAACAAGTTTTCCCACGATGCCCGCCTAGATGACCGGCTGACTGGCTGACTGCTTGACTCGGCTGCCCGGCTGTCTGGGCTACTGTGTGCGCGCGCGCGCTTTTTTTTTCGTTTTCTTAAGGCCCAAACAAACAGCCGTCAAGTACCAGAGGCCAATGATATATGCATTTTTCATGCCAAACAACAGTTGCAGCCAGCAGACAACAATGCGACTCGCTTATAAATTAGAAGTAGTCAAAATAATAGCCATATTTCTTTGGCGGAACCCTCATACAAAAAAAAGGTCAAAGCTGCACCAGCAGCAGCAGCAACAAGAAAAAAATTGCAGCTGCGTTTGGTTTTTTTATGCTTTTTGCTAGGTTATCATGACTCGAACTGTTCGATCTTCAAGCAGGCATTATAAGCATCGCCTACAGCTTCAATTGCTGCAGCTAATCAGCTGAACGCACTTAAAGCGATTTCCATGTCCAAGGGGACTGAGATGGTGTGTGTCTGTCTGTGTGAACAGGTGTGCCCAAGCCTCTTAACCAAATTGGTCAGCAACTCTGGAAATTATGATGGGCTCAACAAGTAAACGAAGAAGAAGAAGAAAGAAGTGTGTGCAAACATGCAAAGCAATTAATGAGATTTAATATTCGCAATGCTCAAAAATTGTAAATCTATGATAATTGAAATGAAGATTAAATTAAGCTTAAGGCGGAAATTATTTAAAGGCAGTCAAATATGACACTAGTTTAGTTATTGAGCTATAGCAAAGCGTCTCTAAGCTTCAATATTTATAAGAAATTTAGTTTTTCTAACAATTTTAAATATAGCTGGCAAGAGCTAAAGCGAAGTAGACTATTATTTCTATACTCGAAGTTAATTAAAAGTTAAAAATTTAGCGTATAATCGTTGTGTTAAAATGATTATTAATGAAAGACTTAGGCAACGAACTTGCCTGCAAAGCAGCATAAGTTAAATAGTTGAGTTCGGCCAGACTCCCGCTTCTGTCTACTTGGCCGTGCGTTTGTCTACATTTAAATTGATTTTAATAATTTAAAGCTAATTACAATTGTGCATTTATAAGCAGCAGCAAAGCTTGGCTGCTCAAGCCAACCACGCAGACTTGTCCAATGTTTGCACTTTACTTCTAAAAACTACTAAGTCAATTCTATTAAGCCATCAGAGTCCACGCAGTGGCACTCCAAGTAGTACAGTGTGACCGCCTCTTGCGGCCTATCGCATTACACAGCGTACTGTATGCAGCATTGATGGCTGTGGCTTCAATAGAGTCGTGGAGTAAAGTAATCATTGAATCTTTAGCTCTAGCCCTGTCGGTAACTTCCACACAACGAGTTCGCTACCTGTAATACCTAAGGAATTGCAGCTAGCACCAAGACTTAGAGTATTAAATTACATGAAGCAAAGGCAAGCCTAGCTCAAAGGCTGAGTGCTGAGTGCATATTTGAGTTGATAATTGAAGTAACTAAGTTGCTTGATGGAGCTATGCTGATGAGTACAAGAAAGTGAAGCGAGTTTACCTATTGAAACTGAACTTACAGCCTGCCATTTGAGTGTCAAGTTACTCAGCCACAGCTACAGTCCACTCAAGTACTAAGCAATGCTTTGCTGAGCAACATATGGGGGATATGTGTGCTATTGAATGTTCTATAAAGATATAACCTTAATACGAGGCAGGCAGCTAGCTGCATCAACTATTGTAACTGAGCTTACAGCCTCCCATTTGGGTGTGAAGTTGCTCGATCTTAAAGCCAGTCAAGTATTAAGCTATGCTAAGTTGAGGAACTTGTGAGGTCTAAGAGAGCTACACAATGATCAGTAAAGAAACTTCTCATCAAGACTCGTGCAATCAATCAAAAGAAGAAGAAGAAGCAAGAGAGCTAGTCAAAGTCAACCATTGCACATATAACTTAAGCCTTAAGAAAATTGAAACATTTTGAATACAAACGCTTTGCTGATGACTGTTTACTAAGTCTAATCAATTATATACATATCTAAGTCAACTTCAATATAATTAGCTTAACACTGCAATCACACATGTTTGCCTAACAATCTGGCCTTTGATACAGGCCTCTCAATTGAGTCTGGCCAGCATTTAAATACAAAGCCCTTACCCCAAGTATTTTTTTTCATTGATGACGTCAGATTGTGCTTTTAGGAAGTTCATCAAATGGGCAAATGGAGACCACAAAGACAGAGACGTCTCACTTGGCCAGTTCCACTTGGATGCGGTTGGCCATTGAAGCGCATAATTTGTGCGGAAATATGCAAAAAAGTGGAAAAAATTGATTGTGGCGACAGACAAACAGCCTGAACCTTTCGCCAGTGTTTTGACTAGTATATAAATAGCCGAGAAGTGCAACATTTCACGCTTAGTTTTTAGAGAAACGCGTGGATTAAATCAGCTGCGAGACACGCGCCAATCAAAAGCAAATTGGGGAGAGAGAAAAACGCAAACATTGAAATTCAATCAACAAAAACTGCAATGAAGAAGCGACAGCGCGTAAGTAAACAACCAGAAGCAGCAACAACTTGGACAACAACAGCAACAACAACAACATTTGACAGTTGTTGTTTGTGCTTCCGCATTACGTCTGCTGCGGCACGCGTCAAGCAGCAGGTGTTGTGGCTGCCAGTTCACCTGCTTTTGGCTCTTACGATCTTCTGCTCGCTCGGCGGCGGCTGCTCAGCTGTTGGCTATTCCTATGCCAGGTTCGAGGGTCCGGTAGCGGGGCCGGAGCGTCTGGTCACCGTGCACGATGAGTATGGCGGCGGCACGCACTCGGATTATGTGGCACGGCCCGAATACAGCTTCGCCTATGGCATCGAAGATGGCGAGGCGCGCGTGCTGCAGAATCGCAAAGAGACGCGCAACGGCGACGAGGTGCGCGGCGTCTACAGGTAGGTTTACAATTAGCTGCTGGCCAAGTCAACGCATTCATTAACGTCGCCAACACGCAGCGTAGTCGATCCTGATGGCACACTGCGCGTGGTCAAGTACACAGCAGACGACACGAACGGCTTCCAGGCGGAGGTGATCACCAATGGCGTTGCCACACTGCATGGCCATGGCAGCGAGGCGGGCGGCGCGGCGCATGTGGAGCAGCAAGTGGAACATGAACAGGCCAACGAGGTGGACGATGAGGCAGATGAAGCAGGTGCTGAAGAGGAGGAGGAGGAAGAGGTTGAGGCGCCACAACAACAGCATAAGAAACCTGCTCCCCCGCCAGTCGAAGGTCAGTATAAGGTACATGAGAATCAGCGCGATGAAGGCGAGGAAGGTGATGAAGCTGAGGAGGAGGGCGACAATGAAGGCGGCGGCGATCACGAGGAATACGAGGGCAGCAGCGAAGAGGGCTACGAGGATGCTCACACACAAAGTCAGCAGCAGGAGGAGGACGATAGCGAGGAGTACTAGTATTTTTGCAATTTTCCTGGTATTTCTGTGGTATTTTACACGATACAAATAATTGAAGACTTAGTATAGTTAACGCTAAGTTTTACGTGTGATATATATAAAAAAAATTAAAATAAATATTTTTTAATATTCACACACATTGGTATTTTGTAGGTTGCCAATCAAAATACCAAAAAATACCAACATCAAATGGGAAAAAAATATATATGAGATATGGCTACGATGTTATACAGTATTTAATTGGTATTTCAAACAAACACATTACAATTAAGCAAAAAAAATACCAACCAAAAATACCAAGAGTATACCAAATGAAATGCCTAACTAGAATACAATGTCTTCAGTATTTTACAGCTTTTTACTAGTATTTTAAAGCAAAGCATTAAAATATAACTGTAAGCAAGAACTAAGAGTACCAATAAAAATACCTATAATATACCAAGTTCAAATGTTAAAATAACTCATAACGTTTTTGGTATTTTTTGTTTTAAACTGATAGTGTATTTCTGTAGCATTAACTTAAAATACCAAGAAAATACTAACAAAAATACCAACAAAAATATGCAAAATCTAATACAAATTGTAATGTCTAATGCGTTTAGATTAGATTAGATTAAATATTTAAATAGTGTTTTTGGCTTGAATACTAAAAAAAGCCTTGGCTTACATAAGCAAATATATTCGGTTGGTTTTTTAATCTAAAAGCTAATTGAAATATGTGTCAGACTACTTTGTTGCTGCTGGGAATGGTTTTGCGTAATCCAACTGAGCTGACCAAAGAGAAGTCGCCGCGGCTGCTGCGACTGCTGCAGCTGCAACTGCTGTTGGCAGTGAAGCGTGTGCGTTGCCGCTGCGTTCGATCGGAATCAATCAGGCGCAGCAGCCGTCGCAGCAGCAGCAGCAGCAGCAATTGGCAATTGCAGCAACCAGGCATCGCGTATGTGCTCCACTTGGCAGCCATTTCGTCACTCGCTTAATTCATACGCGCAAATGCGCAAAATCGCATTAAATGTGCGAAAATTTTACAGAAGAGAAACAGGAGGAGAGACGCAATGCAAAAACAGAAATTGGATCAAACGACTTTTGTATTGCCGTTGACGATGCGGTAATGCTGCCGAAATGGCACTGGCCAGCTGACCAGCCGATCAACCAACCAGTCAACTGACGTGGCGAGATGCAACAGGTGAAGGAGTTGAGCACCTGGCAGCGTGACCAAATGCAGTTAGTTAATCTCACAATTGAGATGGAGACACAATTGGGCTGGCAGCTGTTTGGCATTTGGCTGGGCTTCGTGTGTGCCTAATTGACAAGCGCCTCTAATGTATTTGGCCAGCCAAATAGTCCGCCATCGGCCAAGCATCTCTCGCTAATAGCATCCCAAGAGTGGTGCCAGCATTGCGGCAACCACATGAAGATTTATGGCGTGCCGCTTAGAATGACGCGTTGCCTCCAAAACTGGACAGCATGCGTTCGGCCAGACGTGCAAGAATGCCAGTGAAAATGTTTTAATTAGACACAGATGCGACTAGATAGGGCAAACAGCAAAAATACGTGTGTAGCCAACAGACGACAGAGGCAATTTATGTGAGCAATCAACTTGTATTTAATTGCAATTTTATATGAAACTTGAAATTTATTTTGAAATATATTTTTCCTAATTCATTTTTTAAATTAGTTTTTTACAAAAAATATTTTATGCATTTTTAAATTATGTTGAAATAATTTTTAGAAAAGATTTTAATAATTTACAAAATATATAAAAATTATTTTATTATAAGTTTTTAAAATTTAAAAATTTTAATAAGCATTAGTTAAAAATTTAATTTAAAAAATGTAAACATTTTAATAAAAATTAAAAAAAAAAACTAGATTCTTAAAAATTTTTAATATTATTTTATTTATTTTTTTACGTAAATCAATTATTAGATAAAAACTTTATTTATTATATTTCTGTGATATTATTTTTTATTTTTTTTTTATTTTTAATTTCAATTGTTTAATTATTAAATATTTTAAATATAGTTTTTAAATAAATGCATATTAATGATAAATGTATAAAAAAGATACATATATTTTTAAATATTTTTATGTAAGAAATAATATTTCGTTTCTTAATAAAATTGTACTGACTTTTAGTTTCCCCCACAATGCACAAACATTTCACGCTTTGGTTGCACCACTGCGTATGCTTAACAAAAACCTTTAGTTCGCAGAGTTTTGTATTACATTTGGGAAATTGAAATATATAGCTTGCTTCCCCGAGGAAGCACAGCTTCATTGCAAATGCAGCGGATGTGCAGTAATTGTGAGCAGCTGCTAAAGGAAATGGCACATTACGCATACGCAGCGTAGTGCAACGATCAAAATAAAGCTTTAATACCAGCTCCAATTACATTTGGGCGCTATGACTTTGACGGCCTTTCTAAAAGCTGACCATTTGCATGAATGAACATAAATCAATGTCAATGCATAACAGACAAGTCATTAAAATCAATGCAAAGTGCGTTTAAATGTTCACAGAGAACCGACAGAAAAAGAGACCGAACCATTGTCCAAAAATTTGCATGCAGCGCATAAATCAAGATTAAAACTCTGTTCTACTTAACGCGTGACGTTCGAGCTGAGATTGAGCAGTTGGATATCGATTTGAATGCCAGCATATTTGTGGCATGCGTCGACAGTTGAGCTGAATTGCGCAGGTGCCACAATTAACGCAGTCATCGAATGTCTCGCCCCCACAGCGCAGCACAGCACAGCGAAACAATGCAATGCAATGACTCTCAAACTGTGCCGCTGCATTTGTTGCGCAATCGACAGACACAAAGGCAAAGACAAAGCGTGCTCCACTCTGTTCAGCTGCTGACCAACTAACCAACTAAACTCCAAAGGCTCCAAATCGAACTCGGTTCACTACGACCCCCCACCCCCTCCACCGCCTCCGCAAAGCTCTTAAAGTGTGATCGCGATCGTGACGTGGCCAACTTGTTTGTTTAGCCCCTGGCTCAGCATCAGCTGCATTGTTGTTGTTGTTGTTGTTTGCCTACAATTGTTTGAAATGGTTTTTTTGTCTGCTTTCGGTAAATGTGTCGCCTTTAAAGTCATTTTATGTAAGTCGATTCTGCTTTGCCTTCCACCAGCCTCAAATGAGCTTTTTACTATATTTTATTTTAGTTCTCTTAGCCACGTCTTTGGTTTCAGATTTTCCCATCGTAGCCAGCACATGTGACCACTTGTGTGCTCTTTCAACCAGAAGATATAATAATAATTTTCTGATATGTCAAGCAAGAACATTTTCGTGCTGCTTTTTTTTTTTGTTGTGGCGTGGGCGTTGCAAGAAATTTAAAGCCAGCGTGTCCAAAACTTGACAGCTTAGGCATAGATAACTTAACGCCCCATGTGGCCAAGCGAATTGAGCAAGTTCGATACGTCTGCGATAGTTCACATTAAGCTGAAGCTGGTTTACGACTCTGTCTCACTTGGCAAACTCAATTCACTAATTATAATAATTAAATTTAATTGCTGCCCAGATTAGCGACGCTTGACGACTTATTGATTAAACGAGTTGCAAGGCTTTGCGCTAGATTAAATAGGAATGCTTAGGCGCTACCCTGTACATATATTTAATAGATTTTCATATGCCATAAAAAACTCCTTTTTTTTGCTTCAATTTTTGATTTGCTATTGAGCTTCAACATGGATTTCAAAAGAAATGCATTACAAAAAAATTTTAAATTTTTTTACTTAAATCTAAAAATTAAAAAAAAAGGTTTTTTAGAATTTATTTTTAGAAAAATTATTTAAAAAAATTTTTTAAGAATAAAAAACTTTTTTTAGAGAATTAAATTTTTTTTTTTGAGAATTTTCTAAAATATTTTCTTTTCAATTTTAAAATATTTTTTAATTTAAAACAAAACAACTAAATTCAATTTATTTATTTTTCAATAATTTTTTTTTAAATTTTTTTTTATTATTACAGCATTATTATTACAGCAAAATAAAAGCATCTTTTGCTTCAGAGAGCAGCCCTTGTGCTCATAACTCTGTTAACAACTTAACAGATTCCATTTGTTGATATCATTTTAAGCATGCTTTGACCTCGTCCCATTTGGCATTTAAGCTTTATTTGACAAAAAAAAAAACAGATAAGCTACATTATTTTGTAACTGTTTCATTATTATGAATACGACGAAGGAAAAACTTGAAATACTCTACAAAGAAAAACCAATTTAAATCGCTTCACTTGGCAACACGTTTGCCGCAGTGAAATGTTGATTGAAAAACGAGCGGCGCTTGATATGCGTGCGACAGCAACAACCAAAACAACAACAAAAAAATCAGCATAAAATGAAAAAGTAAATCCAAAATATGCGAGCATTTGCCAACATCGAAATTCCTTAGACACAGACGCACGCAACACACACAAAAGTTCTGTGACAAGCAATTGCGTCAAATATGTAGTTGCTGTTGTCGTTGTTGTTGCTGTTACATTGGTAATTATAACGCCGCCGCCGCTGTCGCCGAGTGCCGCAGATATGGTAATAGTATTTGGAGAGACCAGAGTCAATAGGAGCTATTAAAACTGCCTCTGACTGTGAGTCGTAATTATAGCAGCCGATCAATAAATAAACAGCTTAGGCTATAACAGCAGCAACTACAACAGCAACAACAACAACAACAAGCGTAGTAGCAGCTATAAAGTGTCACTTTCAATTGCTGCATTATCTGTCCTTAAGAGATACACATTCAACTGCCGAAAACCAAGTCACAAAAGCTAGCAACGCCTTCACGGCCCAAGCAAATGCCGCACCCAGCAGCAACAGCAGCAGCAACGACTGCAGCAGCCACTGCAGCAACAGCAACTGCAGAGATCTCTGCCGGCACATGCGTGGTCTCTATGACTCTGTCTATTGCTATGTCGCCCACCCGCTGTCTCTCCTCCTCGGCTGCTCGCAGCAGCTGCAACTCGTTGCTGGCGTCGACGTCGTAGTTGCCGTCGTTGTCGTCGTTGTTGTCGCTGCTTTGCTATGCGCTGGCATCGCCTGCGCGCGTATATAAATACTTTTGGTCATCGTTGCAGACATCAGTTCAGCTTACGATTTCGTGCTACAAACGGTCCTCCAAAGCGTCTAAGCCGTGCCTTAATACACACACACACTCAATAACAGTTGTGCCAGTTCAGTTGAATTTTTGTAACGAATCCTTCGTCCTTTTTGTTCGTGTCGTGTGTCGTTGTCTGTGCTCAATAGAAACAACATGAAGGTACGACAATAAATCAGAAAGCAAAGCCAAATGTTGTGCAAGGACTCATTTCTCTGCCTCTTCTACATACAGTACTTTGTTGCCATCGCTCTGCTGTTCGCTGCCGTCCAGGCTGTGCCCATTGAGCTGGGTCACTATGCTCCATCGCTGGTGCAGGTGCATCATGCGCCAGTGCTGGCTCATGCTGTGCATGCCGAACCGGTGGCCTATCCCAAGTACTCCTTCAACTATGGCATCAAGGATCCCCACACCGGCGACATCAAGTCTCAGGCTGAGGAGCGTGATGGTGATGTTGTGAAGGGTAAGTTGAGGGAGCAGCAGAACCTAAAGAATCAAAAGTCGTAACTCACGAAATTGATGGCAAACAAAAGACTTAGGCAACAAACTTGACACAGTTTAACATCTCATTTAATTACAACCAGGCCAATACTCGCTGGTCGAGCCCGATGGTTCTGTGCGCACCGTGGACTACACCGCCGATGACCACAACGGTTTCAATGCCGTCGTCCACAAGACCGCGCCCAAGATCATCGCCCATGCGCCCGTTGTGCACGCCCCCGTGCTGGCACATGCCCCCCTGCTGCATCACTACTAAATATCGTGGAGTCGTCGAGTCATAAAGGTGCTCCCACACTCTCACACACACACGCACACAACAACCACAATCAATATAGGAACAACAGGCAGATAAAACAGATCCATTGAAACAACAAAAAGAAAAAAACAAAAATATAAGCAAAAACCACGTTGTATGTAAGTAAAATGTAGCTAAGAAGTTTTTAGTAGAAACGGGCGCCTTAGTGGGTGCCCGGCACCCGGCTGATCTGGCATGGCATGGACGAAGGAAATACGAACAAGAAAAAAAAACAAAAAACAAATACAAAAAGCAAAAACAAAAGCATAATGACTTGATCTTGCATGATGATGAAGATGATAATGAGAATGATGTTGGTGAACGTTGATAATGTTTGATTGAAAGCGTTAACTGAAGCAACAACAGCAGCAGCAGCAGATTTCACAGTACAGAAAGTTTTTCTACATGGATATATATATATATATATATATATATATATATATATTTGTAAAATTTGTATATTTAATCAATGTTTCATATTACTGTTTAAACATTTAACAGCACACAACACGCAAAGGCCATCGAAGCAAACCATACACAAGTGCAGCAAAGGCATCTTCCGATCAGAACTTTTACAACTACCCAACTGTTTCTCTATCTTGAAACTAGTTTCCTTAACTTTTATTTTCAATGCTCTCTACTTTTGTAATATATTTATGCAACTCTCTATCTCTCTCTATACTTAACTCTCTATCAACTTCTATCCGATGCCTAATGATAAAATAGTCTGTGCCCAAGCGAACAACTGTCATGCCCAACTCCCAGCTCCGCACAGTTTGCTTAATATTTAAGCAAATGGAAGCATTTTGTGCCATTTCAATTGACGCACAGTTTGGCAAGCACTGTGTTTTGGCCCACGTGCATTTGATTCACTCCATTCGGTTTACGCTTGATTCTCTTCCACGTATTATCAAAACCTCTCAGCCACACTCACTCACCGTCTCACTCTCTGTCAGCTGTCTCATAATCTCTTAAACTCTCTCTCACTCTCTCACATTCTCTTTTGCTATTATTCAACGCTCTCAAAACTATCTCACTCACTCACTCACGCAGTCTGACACTTTTGTATCTAGTTTCATTTTTTGCATTTAGTATTCTTCACAATTTGTGTGTATTGTATATTTATAAACAATTTATGCCGCTTAATTATAATATCAATCTATATGTATATAAAAGTTAAACGAAAAATCACAAAAAAACTTATTAAGTGTTGTCTCTGTTGATCGAAAAAAAATAACAAACGAAACTCTCACATGTCTCTCACACTCAAACATTGAGTATTTATTTTATACAAGAACAACAAATTTCTTGATAAACACGACAACGAAATGCAAAAAACAACAAAAAAAAATAATTACACATTATTATCAAATTATAAAAAATGTATTAATAGAAAACTACAAAAAAATGAATAAAAATCAAATTGAAAAAAAAAATCCAATATGAATTTTTACTCAAAAAAATGTCAGCATAGTATAAAAAATATAATATTTTTTACATTTCTTTAGCATTATTCTTTAAAAAAATTAGTTTTGAAAACAAAGTATAAAATAAAATACAATAAAATTTTTTATTTTCAAATTTAGTTAACTTTTACAGATGTCAAAGTTGATTTAGCACATACAAATAAATTTTTTTAAATGTTTAAAAAATAAATAACAAAAATAGCAATTAAAATTTTTTTTTTCAAATTTAACATCTTTAGAGGTCAAGATTGTTTAGCATATTTAAATAATATTACTTGTTTTTCTCTTTTTTAGGTCATTAATTTGAATGAACCCGCTGAAATATATTTAGCAATTTCGCATTCTCTTTCTAATTGAGCTCTGCCTCTGGCTCAATTATGCTTCGACTGATTGCCGATTGAGTCTTCAGTTGGCTTTTGCTATTGAAAGTGCGCGCAACGTCTCTATAGAAGTATTTGCAGATTAGGCATAGCTAAGAGTGACACTCTCAACAAATGTGGTTCGCAGCTCATTAAAATTCACAATGGCAATTCTGTCAAATATTTATAGCTTTTGGTTGTTTGTAAGTGCGTGAATATTTTATAGGAAATTGATTTTATTAACGATGATGACATGTGCGCGGAAATAAATTTAAGAAATTACACACTCTCTCATATAGAAGTACAGCACGTTATTCAGTTCCAAACTACTTAGACAAGTCATCGACTGAGGACTGCTTAGTATGGAAAAAAGATGCGCAAAATTCTATCTATCGAACTCTACTTCATGGAGTTTATTAAAATATATTCATAAACTAACTGATTGATGTCAATTGAAGATGCTAAAATTACTTTAATTGTTAAATTTCTGGATTTTCTAGAGATACAGTTTGCTTACACAAATCCAAAAGCTTAGCCTGCTATCTGGAGTGCATTACAGAGACCTAAACTGTAGAGTAAAAATTCTTCTAGCTTCGCAAATTTATGTCAACGAGCTAGTTTAGTAAACATATTTTATATATACCAAAATCTAGAACCTCATACCTAATACAAGAGATACGACTGAGGACTTTCACTCGTCTTGAACAAAATATGGAATATTTTCTATACTCTCTATATCTATTCATAAAGAGATTTTAATTAGCATATTTCTTTTACAAACATATCCCTAATGTTATGCTAATGCATAACTAAGAGTATGCTTAGTCAAGCTTTTATACACCGCCAATTACCAAGACTCTCTCAAAGCCAAGACTCCTCTCAGCCAGAAAAAATAATTCAGTATTAACTCCACTTAAAGCTTTTCAGCTACACCAAGCCTTTAGGCCAAGTTAATAAGCCCAAAAGTATGCACTAAGATTTACGTTCACTTACAGTTGTTGATGCTGCTGCTGATCGCAAAAGTATACGCCGCGTTGGCCACGCCAGTGTCAAAAGGAAATGCAGCAGATGTGACGACAAAAACTGAAAAACGCAGCGGGCCGAGCAAACTGAGCAACTACTTTTTGCATGAGCCATACGGTAGGCTATGGAAAGGCTATGAAGTAGAGAAATCTTATAGAGTTTGTAATTCATGCAGGTCCCAATACATATGCCTTTGGCTATGAGCTGGAAGATGCCCCATCTGGTAATATACAATTCCGCGATGAGCGACGCTATTTGAATGGCAGCATCGAGGGCAGCTATGGCTATGTGCGTCCCGATGGACTAATCCAGGTGACGCGCTACAAAGCTGACGGGGACAGGGGCTATTTGGCACACACCCAGAGCTATGCGCCGGGCGATGAGCCGGTGGACTCCATTTGGCCAACACAACGTCCAGATATGTTCAAGACACAGCATTCTATGCAGCCCGCTGTTAATGTGAGCTGGGATGCCAAAAGTCATTTGAATGTGAGCGTGGATCAAGTGGAACATGAAGTGGCAAAGCAGCTAAAGGAGCAGCATGGCTTAGACTTGAATCACATCAATGTCGAGCAGGATGTGCTGCAGCCAGCTGTGCTGGACATAGTCAATGGCAAAACGCCACTAAAAGCCCAACCCAATGGCAGTTTGGCCTTTGAAACATTGCACAACTTCATAGACAAGGATTTGCCGCTGGTGCCATTCGAGTTGCCAGCCGAACAACTGTTGACAACGGCCGCGGCGCCATTGGACCAGAACAGAACTGCGGCTAATAACAAATACAACAAAGCCAAGTCCAATAACGACGAGAAGGCACCACAGACAGCCAGCACTGTTGACTTTAGCACCACATTGCCCACGCCCCAGCCATTGGTAAATGATAGGTCGAATGCAAGCAGCTGGTACCAGCGAATCATTCAGGCGAATCGTCGCGAATTTCTTGAGCATTTGCCAAATTTGAATCGAGCCTGAGCACAGCACGGCACAAAACATGCCACAAAAGCGAAAATGTATCATAAATGTGGCTGCTCCACTATAGCCAACAGCATTGCCGACACGCCCCTTTGCAGCGTCTAATAAGCATTAGGTAAGCGAGCGCCGCCACTAGATCTTTCACTTTTCAAAAAAAAAATAAAAACAAAAGCTTTCAGAGCGAGTTTTGCTTTGCATAAGTAGAGCATTCCACAAGAATGCGATTAAAGCAAACAATCGCAAAGGCTTCAATTTACACTCGACTACATAAGACAGGCATACTGACAGACACACTGACATATATATATATATATATACATATATATCTATATCTATGTATAGCATTTGGCATATATCTTCCGGGTTTTTGGCTGGCGCATTCATCTCGCTGGTTAAGCTGCGCCGCCTTTGAAGTGCGGCCTGTGGGTTCGAGTCAGCTGATGCTTCAATTTGCATTAGCATTGTCATTAGCATCAGGAAGACAAATGCCAGTGCGTTTTCTGTTGGCCAAAAGACGGCCTAAACGGAAGGAAATGGCATTGCATTTTTAATTTTCTCACTTTTTCGCAGTTTTGCTTTCTTTCAGCGTTCGCCTCATGCATATTTAAGCTGATTTATTGTATTGTATCTCTTCTTCTTCTTCATTTTTTATTGCACTTTGCAGCTTTTATTTGTATCACGCACGCCGCCTCGCCCGTCTCGAACGTTATCTTTGAATTGGTCTTCAGTTTATGCAACGGCCAACAACAGCAACAACTAGTTTTACTCGATATTTATACATTTAACATTTTTATGATTGGGTTTTTCTCAGTGCACATTTATTGTTGTCCGTCGTGCATTCACTTTTATTGCGGAGAAATGATTTATAAATGCTTTGAATACACTCACAGCAAACTAATGAATGATTGATGGCTGCCTTATTAGAAAGAGTGAACTGTGCTATCCGAGTTAATGATTAGTTTTTAACGCTTATTAGATCGATTTGGAAATATATATATATAATATATGTATATATATATATATATATATATATATATATAACATATTATATGCTGTTAAATTATGTAGCCAAAGATCTTAGAATAAAGAGATAGGTTTTAAAAGGCATGAAAAAAATTGTTTCTTTCTAGGTAAAATTTAAGTGAATTTAGAAAAAAAAAATCTTAAATATATTAGTATAATTTTATTTATTTTTTTATTAAATATAATTATCCGATTATTGAACTCTACAAAACGGAGGTTTCGGACTTCATCAAAATTTTAAGAGAGTTAAAAAATGTTAAAGTTTCCATATTTTTAGAATAATTACATAAAAAAATTATAAAATTTTCACGCTTTAGAGTTCAGAAATATATTTTTAATTAGATATTTAAAATTTTTTTTTTAATTTTTAAAAAAGTGTAAGGAACAAATGTTTTTTTTTTAATTTCAATTTAGATTAAATTTTTTTAGATTTTTTTTAATTTTTATAATTTTTTTTTTATAATTTTTTTTTTTAACTGTCTTTTTATTATTTTTTTTTATTATTTATTATTATTATTATTTATTTATTATTTTAATTTTTTTTGTTTAAAATTTTAAGAGTAGATATTTAATTATTACTTTTTTATTAACGTTTCTTCTTTCTCTAAATACGTCTTTCAATTGTGTGCCAATTGAACTGGCCCCACTCATAACTAAGGCGCGCGCGCTCGTTCGCTCACAAATTTTAATTCAATTTGAGGGAACGTGGCATCGGGAGTGGCATGAAAAGGCACTGAGGAGGCACGCGGCATGTGGTACTGACTGCCAGCTGGTAGTTGCATTGTTGCCAACTTTCATATGCATTCGAGTGTTTTATTGTATGTTAATTAAATTGCAGCCACATTCGTTGCGCTGCTGCATTATTTGGCATACATATTTGGTCATTAACTAATTGCTGGCAGACCGCTGAGGTAATCACTTTAGTTGTTTCTTTTTGCTTTTATTATTAAGTCAGCCAGTTGCAAAATGCGCCCAGCGAAGAGACTGTGAAAGTGGCTTTTCTTTCTATCTGAAGCGTTGCAAAGGCTGCGTAACGTAAGCGCATTACGTATACGCACTGTAGGCAGCGTAAAGACTCGCCTGAAAGCGGCTGCTGCTGCTGCTACAACTGTTGTTGCTGCTGCACTTCAACTTAACATTGAACGGGTTTCGTCCCTGCACGCGACCATTATAAATCGTTCGCTTTGGCCAAAAATTTATTTGCCAGAAATGTGTCGACGACGCCTGACAACTTGATTAGACGAGCAGTAGCCAATCGAGTTTGCACCGGTTGCATAAATTTACCAATTTTATAATCTTGATATGACCAAAAAAGAAAACTGGTCAATTTCATAATATCCGGTTCGGAGCGCGCTTGAAAAGTTGTTAATTGTCAAAGGCTGGGGGTTGCCAGCCAGCAGGAAAAACGAAAAAAAAACAGCAGAAAAAATCGAAATAAGTGAAATATAAAAGAAAATAACAAGCGTACGTTCACAGCTGCTGCTGCTGCCAAAAATGACGGCAATTAGCCAAGCAGCCAGTTTGGCAAAATAAGGTAAAAGTATTTAACCTACTTTGAACTGCGGCATCTCGTACTCGTACTCGTAAAGCGCATTTCGTTGTAGGAAATCATTGAGCCGGCCATACTTTAAAGCAACCAATTAATGACCCGCACAGCAGGAGCCAAAATGTTGCCAAGGAAGTCGCCAGAGAAATGAGAAACGAGTTGAATTGTCGCCACGTTTTTTCTCCAGTCAAACGTGTGAGTGAGTGTGTGTAGCACTTGGAATTCACTATTGAATTAAAATGCTTTCAAGATTTTCTGCAGCAGTAAATATTTTGATTAACGCTCACATAATTAGATCACAGCACGGCAACAGCAGCTCGCCGAGTCACTGATTTAAATTCAATTGGTAAATTGTCTCTCTATGCATTCACAGGCTCGTTTCTCTTTCCGTATATTGCAACAGACAAACACACACGTTGACGCGTTGGCAGACTTATAGCTGCCATATGATATGATTATGTGATTTGGCAATTTGCATTTAATTAATTTCTGCAGCTATTTATTATGTCAACGTTTTGGACACGACAGCAGCGATGACAGCTTCGGTGGGAGCAGCAGCAGAGGCAGCGCACGAAGACAACTGAATTCGTAGCGCAATTTCAATTTCGACTACCGCATCGAATTTAAGCCAACATTAGGCTTTGTTTGGCTAACGTCGCGACGTTTACCAAGTTGTTTTGATAGATTATGCCGCTATTGTGCTTGGACACTAAATTGTTATAAATGGACTAAACTGCAGAGATGCCAGTCTGTGAGAAAATGTTGCAGAGGCAGACAGCTTAAAGGAAATTAGGCACAAGAAAAGAGTTTAAAGAAGCTTGATGAGTAAAGTCTGTGGGAATCAAGCTATCAGCCAGTTACTCAATCCTTCATTTAGTCATTCAATCAATTAGTTAGCTATCTGCTGGTCAATCCGCCAGTGAATGAATCAATAAACTAATCAATTAATATCATCAGTTATTCAATCAACGTATCAGCCAGTTAGACAATCAGTCAATCATTCTATGAATCAGTCGATGAGACATTCAAGCAATCAATCAATATTAATCGATTGGGTCATTGAATCAATTATTCAATCAATCAATCAGTCATCCAAGCAACCAAACAGTGCCAGCAATCAATCGATCTATCTATCAATCAATCAAACATACAATCAGTTCATTATTCAAGGATTTGTTGCATTTCTGATATGATTCTTATCAGCAGAAAGTGCTACCTTTACTTACTTTCTCATGTTTGCATAAACCAAATTTGTCCGCTCATTTTATCACGTTTTTTGAGTAAATTCTTCTCAATTCTAACTCACACAATAAGCAAAGCCAAGTTAAGGAAATTAAACTGTTGATACGCCAATTAAAATTACATAATTAATTAAATAACAAATTGAAATTGAATTCAATTACCTGCATAATTGAAATGTACAATAAATCATAGCTTAAGCTTAAAATTATTTTGACATAATAAATGGAAAACTCAAATGTTATCACACTTTCAGCAACACCTCTTTCTGCAGCATCGCAACATTTAACACGCTGTCAACATGTTGCTTGAAATGTTGCTACGCACTTTTTTACTTGGCAACTTTTGTTGCTAATGTTGTTAATTGATTTTCAGCACGTTTAAGTTCAATGCGCAGCATCTCGCAGTTGCTTGCGACGCCGACTCATTAACAATGCGTGAAAAACAGCAGCAGCGGCAGCAATTGTTGATGCGCTTTTTGCCTTCAAATAAATGAATATGAATTGCAGTCAATAAAATTATGCCATGGCTCGAAGGCTTTCGCTAAAGCAACCAAAATGTAATTTTCAATTACGTGCAACAGCAACAGCAGCAGCAACGGCAACAACAATGCCTGTTGCTGTTGCGCAAGCTTGCTGCATAAAAGGATAAGCTTTACAACAACAGCAACAACAACGATTCCCACGACAACTTTGGAAAGATGCACGCGTCTCTTGCAACGAGGCTCGTTAGCAGGCCAGAGTCCAAATAAATATGAAACAATGAGACAAAAGTTGCTGCTGCTGCTGCTGTTGCTGTTACCAAGGCAGCCAAATGCCAGACAATCGGGCAGCTTACGAGTACTGCAACTAGCAACAGCAGCTCACCATGTTGCACATGCACAGCAGCCGCACTTAATGCATGTACTAAATGTCCAACAGTAAATATGAGTTACTAGGTAATTGCCGGGCACTGCCACCAGCAACAGCAACAGCAACAACAGCAGCAACAGCTGTGCCACATGCTCGCAAAATCTGTGTTGCTTTTTTGACTTTTCACTTTTCGTGAGTGGAATTTGATTGAGTGGCTGTAAAAAAACTGTACAACTGTAAAACTGTAGCTAAGCATTTTGACTAAAACCAAAAATCGAACTAAAAATTAACACCTGCTGGCAGCAGGAGCTGCAACAGCTACAACAATAGCAACGGCAACAATCGACGCTTCAATGAGCAAACAAAATCTAAAACATTTGAGCAGCGCTTGCAACGATGACGACAACGTTTGCTTCGACAGCCAAATCGAACAAAAACAACAAAAGCAACACAGCGAAATCAACCGAAAATTGTTGTGTTTGCCCAAAAGCCAAACTGCCCAAAGGGTATATCAGCTAACACTTGGAGTAGGTGTCAAAAGAAATTATTTTAACTAAACTAAAAACTTACTTTGAACTCGAGTTGCGAGAGGTAAAATAGCAAAATTTCTATCTATGTGTGTCTATATATGTCTATGTATGAATGGGTGTACATATATGTACATATATGTATATGTATATGTATATGTATATGTATATGTATATGTATATGTATATGTATATGTATATGTATATGTATATGTATATGTATATGTATATGTATATGTATATGTATATGTATATGTATATGTATATGTATATGTATATGTATATGTATATGTATATGTATATGTATATGTATATGTATATGTATATGTATATGTATATGTATATGTATATGTATATGTATATGTATATGTATATGTATATGTATATGTATATGTATATGTATATGTATATGTATATGTATATGTATATGTATATGTATATGTATATGTATATAATATAAAAACCTGTATGTTTTCCAGCTCTTAGTCTCACTTACTATCTTTATGTCTCTCACACAATCTATCTCATTATTGCTCTTTCAGCTACAAGTCCTCTCTCTTTCTTCCTCTCTGCATTTCATTCTTACTTTCTTTTTCTATATCTCTTTCTCTATCTAGCTTTCTGTCTCCATCCTTCTCACTTTCTTTGAGTCGCTTACTCTATATCAAGCTCACTGTATATCTCTCGCAATCGATCTTGCTCTATCTCATTCTACTCTACTATCTTCTTCTGTCTGTCTCTTTCTCTATCATTCTTATTTCCTCTCTGTCTCTCTTTCTCTATCATTCCCTCTTTTGCTCTCTCTCTCTTTCTTTATTAATTTATCTTTTTCTCCTACTTTCTTTCCCTATATATGTTTCTCTATCTCGCTTACTCTATCTGTCTCTTACACTTCATTTTGCTGTCTCTCCGTCTGCCTCTCTCGCAATCTCTTTCTCTATCTTACTCTCCTACTCTCTTTTTTTTGTCTCTCTCTTTCTCTAAATCTATCAATCTCTCTTTATCATTCTCTCTCACTCTGTCTACCTCCCTCCCACCCGCTCTCTTTCCCTCTGTCCACAGCTGTTGCTCTCCCTTGAACGCATCAAACATATCAAATTAAATAGAGTATCCATTCAGTTCGTACACCAATTTGTTGTTGCTTTCATTGGAGTGCACTGCATTTGGATGGAAATAAAAATAAAGAGCCGTACCGGCGACCGGGCACTGGAAAATTGTATCAACATTGCGTTCAATTTGCGTCGCTTCGCCAAATTGCAAAACATCTCGAAAAAGAGACGTTGGCTTTTTGGTATGCTCCAGCTCCAACTCCAACTCCAACTCCAACTGCAACAACAACAGCAGCAGCTTGGCATGTTGACTTGCGTTATATTTTCCACCTGCAGCAACACCAACACACACACACATGTGTGTAGTTTAGTCCCCGTGTAGACCATAATTAAGCACTTATTTGATTTGCCATATTTTTGTTGTGGTACGTGCAAATGCTTTTTGATTTCGGGATTTGCGGATTGGTAATCATTATAAAAAACGAAAACAAAAACAAAATAAAAGAAAAAATATTTTCTTCTTTTTTTTGCTGTATGTTTGACTCGTTTGGCTTGTCACGCTTTGCAACGTTGTCAAATGTTGTCGACTTTAAATATAGCAATTAAAAAATGTGACTGCATTTAAAAGTCCATCAACCTGCGCCGAGCTGAACTCCGTACGATCTTCAGAATTGAGGCTGTGAAAAGTGGCTGTGGCTGACGTTAGTATTGCCAAAGGCAGCACTCAAATTGGTAAACAAATTCAAATAGGACAACGATTGCAAATGCAAAGTAAACAAAATTAATCTAGGTTCAATGTGGTTTCAGATGCTGAAGCATTAGCGAGGGCTGGAGTTAGGGAAGTTAAGAAGTCAGGAAAGTATTGCTTTAATAACTGGCAGATTAGTAAGTAAGAACTGTAAAATCACTTGAAATAGAAAATTCTGATTAAAATAGTTTTGTAAAGTGTATGCAATAGGCATAAGGAGGCGTGGCAGAGCTCATAAACTGTTTTTACTCGTAGTTGTATTTGTTCAGGGTATTTCCTAGTCGAACACTAGCAACTAGAGTATTGTTTCGCTGTCTCTTAAACGCAGAAAACTCATTTTGCAGTTATAACGAACCCCAATTCTTATCGAAATCCTAATCATTTACCATTAATAAACTCTTTAAGACATTCTTATCTTTTCAATTTACAAATAACAGATTTCCTGCTTGAACACGAATTCAATCTAAAAATAATGTTCAACTGCAGTCAAGGCTATTCGAATTACAGCTCATTAAAGTCTAACAACGGGCCAGAGCCCCAAAACGTATTTCAGACCTTCATTTACTACAAATGGGCTAAATTGTACACGAAAACAAAATGAGCTTTTGTAATTTGAAAAGCATTTACAAATCGAAGACATATGTGAATTACTTCTAAGGCTGATAAAACGGACAACTGCATGAAGTATACGCTCCGTTGGCTAATTAGCTAACAAACAATGTGGTGCAGTTGCCTCCAGAAAAATCATTCAATTGAAAATTGACGCAAAATAATTGGTCAATTTCTCAATGCTGCTTACTGCTGCTGCTGCTGCTGCACTTAACTTTGATTTGAAGTACAATCTAAACGACGTGCAGCTAATGAAAATCTAGCTGCAATAAAGGCCTCCAGCAGCAGCAAATGAAACACTTAAATATTACAAAAGTTGAGCTCGATTGCTTTTTGTAGCCAAAGAGTACAAAAAATGCTCCGTTTACAATTTACGATTAGCGCATTAAAAGTAAACGATAGCAGATAAAAAGCTTGCCCAGCAGCAACTTAACAGCTCAACAGCTTCCACAATGTCTAACCAATAAGAGTGCCGGAGAAGGGAGTGATTGGCGAAGAGATACCCTTGCAGACCCTTGTCAAAATTTGCCGAGCAAAGCAGAACTTTTTTGTTTTTGTGGAGAGAATGGGTTTGAGAGTTTTTGGGAAATAGATTGATTATTTCAAATTTCTTCTGATGAATTGACTATCTCTAGGCCATATTCGAGTCTCTCATCATGTACGTATATACTGTAAGGAATTACCCACCCCCTGCTGCCGGTTACATACAGTTCAACAAAAACTTTATAACCCATTGACCCTATTTCAATTGCATTTCAGGGTATACAAAAAGCTAAAAATCAAAATCATGGCAAAGTTGAACCAAAAATTTAGGTCAAACTGCGTTTTAATGCTTTCGGAATGTATAAGATTTGCAAAGGAGTTTTTTGTATTATGCAGCTATAGATAGAGCTATAAAAGTACTCAAAAAATAAAAGAAAAACAAAAAAAATAAGTAGCTTAACAAAAATAAGTGGCAAAACTAAGCAAAGCACCTACACATAGTTAAGATACTAACAATAAAGCTGTGCTAGCCATACACAAACACATTTATGCACACATTAACTACAGCTACTAACTGAACTGTTTTACATTATTTCACAGATCTCCATTTGCTGCGCCGTTCACTGTGGACGCGTCGGCAGCGTCGCCGACTGCGCTGTTGGCTTTTGTTGTCTGACTTTCTTCCTAACTATATAAAAGCGACGCTGGTTCGTTGCAACCACATTATTCAGTTATTGAATCCCGTTGCGTGCAGCTCGTGGAACGTCGATCAAATCAAAATCAAGTTACAATCAAACATACGAAAACCTACTAAAATGGCCTTTAAGGTGAGACCAAAAAAAAAGAGAAAGAAGGATAACCATAAAGGATATTCAAGTGTTAACATTGAACTGCAGTGCATCCTTTAAGGATAACAATTACTACACAAGTGCTGACAGTGTAAAAGAAATCAAGGCTTATGATCATCTGTGATCATGATACATAATATATAATATTATATCAGAAGAGTTCCATCAAGTGTTGTGATAATTATTTTTTATTTAGACTGAAACAAGAAAATATCTGAAATTTTATATTTCAGAAAACAGTCAACATCTTTAGTTAGTGTAGGAAAAACTATTGATATAGTTAGGCATTTTTACAGAATTACATAAAACAATTATATTTAAAAACAGGTTTGAATACAATTATACTCAAAATTAAAGGTCCTTTATGAATTATAAAAAAACAGGAAAATATTACGTTTAAATCAAATAAAAAAATATAAAAATATATTTAAAAATTTTTAGATAAATAATTATTTTTCATATTTATATTAAAAATGGGAAAATAATTTAAAATTAAAAAAAATATAAGAAAATATTACAAATGAAATTTTCATAAAATTTTCCAAATATTAGAAATAATTTCTTTTAATATTTAAAAAAAATATATAAAATAGAAAGAGCATTAGAAATCTCTTAATATTTTTTATATTTTTTGACAAAAATATATACGATTATATTTTTTTATATTTTTTATATAATTTTATAAATTATATTTCAAGTATATTAACGTTACAAAAAAATGTAAATATGTATATTTAACAGTAAAACCAAGCAAAAGGCTTAGCTGAAGAGAAACTCTCTTAAAAATGTTTCACACTTCCCTTCCCATTTATTGAAATCAAGTTCAAGAGTTGATTTGGAGACTCGAAAAAATTTCCCAGACATCAAGTCATTTCACACTTGATTTTAATATAAGCAGCCAAGTTTTCATGAAAATTTGGCCAAATAATAAACTCGATTGCAAGCTCAAAATATCACATTTTATATAAATCTTGCAAAAAAAAAACAATTGTAACACCACAAAAGTTGCAGCTAACCACAAATGAAGTAAATGTTACAATTCAAATCAAGTTAAGTCAAGTGGCAAAAGCCACTAAATAGCCACAGCCACAGCCACAACGAACACTTCATTAAAAATGCACAGCAAAAAAAGGAGATGTTGAGAGCTGGTTTTTCGCAAACACTTGTTGAACTTACGCTAATTGCGAGACCTCCTCAGCCGAGTGATGTTAACAAAAACAATTAGCTAAGTCCGCTGTCCAATTATGCAATTGCAGTATCTGATTTTCGCGTCAGCTCTCTGTTTGAGCTTGGCCTATCCGGTGGATCAACATCATTATTATGAGGAGAGTCACGGTGGCTATGAGCACTTGGCCCATCAAGAGGCGGCGCCGATACACGACTATGGCCACGAGCATCAGCATCAGATTGAACGCGTCTCCCTAGGCGAGGAGCATGGACATGAGCATCCGCACTACGAGGTGGAGCAGCATCATACAGAGGACGAACATGTGGATTACTATGTGAGTAGAGGAGTGTTGGATGAAGCATAAAAGGAAGTTCATAACTTTTCGGTCTCTCTCTCTCGCTGTCTGTGTCTGTGTTTTAGGCCCCTCCTAAGTATGCCTTCAAGTATGGCGTCAACGACTTCCACACTGGCGACGTCAAGTCGCAGCATGAGACACGCGACGGTGACACCGTGAAGGGCCAATACTCTCTGGTGGAGCCCGATGGTTCCATTCGCACTGTGGACTACACCGCTGACAAGCACAATGGCTTCAATGCTGTCGTTCACAAGACAGCGCCAGTGCATCACCATGAGGAGATCCATGACCATCACGATCTGCATGAGCATCACTATTAAGTAATCAACACAAGGAAGCAAAAACAAACAAACATGAGACCATATAAAACTATATATGTTTCTAGAGTTAGCCAAATTTCTTGATAAAGTCGCTTCATCAAACATACACACATGCACACACACTCAAACACATACAAGCAATCGAACGATCCATGTAATGTAATCAGCTTCATATCTCGTAATTAGGACACTGATAAAAACCGCGCACTCATCTTTGTCCGAGTGCAGGCATTATAATACTTCATAATACTCATTTATCATTTGTACATCGTATTTTATTTCTGTGATAGCAAATAATTTCCTCTAGCTTCCTACAATCTTAACTCACTCTTAGCTCACTTACTCTCTCTCTTAGTCACTATTTTATCTGCCACGATTCATCCACTTCTAAGTTCTAGTTCATTCACTCAGACGAATTTATCAATCTATATACCATATAATTTCATTTAATTATGTAAAAAAACGTTTTTTACAGAGAATAAAAGAATAAAACAAACGAATTGTAAATTGTGTAATAAAGACAATGTGAATTATGTACTTTTTATAAAATCAAAAAAAAAAATGTTTTTATTTGAAATTTTCCTTTTTATATTTGGCCAATGAACTTGCACTTAAAGCCATTAACATTTGCCATTTTTTATGGGTGTTTGTATGTCTAAATCAAGTGACAAGTCCAACTGGTTAGCAATAAAAAGTGATTACCAGAAAATTGTCAAATATTTTTTCCGCCTTTGAACGGGTTTTAAATATTTGTTTTGATTGAAATTACATAATATGGGAATAACTTCCTAAATGGCTAACAAGATGTAATGAATTGGCAATAAATAGTTAGATAAAGACTGAAATGGCTAAAAATAAGTTTATACAAGAGTTCAAAAGACGCTGAGAGATTTTTAGATCATATAACCTGGTTTAAAAAACTTTCATCAAATTCAAAATTTATGTTAACTGTGGAGTAATTGAGTTAAACTGTGGAGCAGCACTGTTATAAGACAGCTAATTAACATGTAGCTGTAAGTGTGCACACACCTAGCAAATAAAGAATAAAAGGAATGATAACAAAAGGGCAGAGTACAGCAGGCAAATGAGAATCCGCCGCATGTAAACAAAAATGTTGGCCAAAAATAAATACGTGCCGCGCGTCAATCAGGTAAACATTTAAATTGAATAATAAACCTACTTAACAGCTAATCTTAATACATAGATAGATGCCATTTATCTCAATAAAGACATATCCCGCATGATACGGGATAACCTGCTCGAAAATTTACAGGCAATATCGGTGGGTATCACAATTATCTTTTATGTTGCCTCAATAGCTAAATGATAACCCAATTTTAGCCTATGCTCTTTATCAAAATACAACCCGAATTGGATTTACTTATACAATCGGCTATCTGGTTCGGTTCTGTGGGCAAACGCTGCTCGACATTTGGTCAACAGCTTTTAGTTTTGGCTTACGATGCGGAAAAATTAACTGTTTCACGTTTGGCTTTACATTTTGCGTTAACTGTGCTGCCGGGCTATGTGAAGAGCTGGGAGGAAAGGCGTCTATCACGCCGCGTTGAGTGGTTCAGCAGAGCAATAACATGGACAGAGAATAGCGCTTTAGTCTTGAATGTTCTTAATTATTTTCGATTTCTAAAGACGGGACGCAAACCGACATTAATCGACTTTTTGCTGGGACTGGATTATATTAGTTTGCGCAACAATCAAAGACGCGATATTGGCTACAAATACCTGACACGTGAATTACTCTGGGGCGGCTTTATGGTACGTTAACAATAGTAAAACGATTATATGAAATACCTCATATCTTGGCTTTCAGGAAATTTTGGGCCTCTTGCTACCTATAATCAATTTCCGTAAGATCCAAAGGCTGTTAAAGGCTGGCTTCTTTGGTGAGGAGTCTCAGCATGTGAAGCGACGCGAGAGTTTGACGCGGAATCTGATTGCTGCCAAAATGACGACGAATACGACTTGTACATATTGTGGCGAGCGTCCTACGCAGCCCCATCATATGGGCTGTGGACACATTTACTGTTACTATTGCCTAAGCGCTAATTTATTAACTGATGCCAACTTTAGTTGCGTTAAATGTGGTGCTAGTTGTCCTGAGCACGGTGCACAGAGTGTTTAACTATTGTGATGTAATTTTTATACACTAGACTTTAAGTATTTGTATATACATAAAGTGCGTAAAGGCTACAATTTTTTATTTTACCGTTTGATTGGCGCGCTTAAGGGCTTGAAGAATGTATTAATAAGGGTATGAACCACTTTCGTAATCTGGTCACACAGTTTGTCACTGCGAGAGCGTTGCGTGTTATTGCTCCAATCGTGAAACGTTATTTAAAAGTAAACTAATTGTTTTAATTACCATAAAGTGCATCGCTTAGCAGTCTTAAACCTAAAAATTTACGGGAGATAGTTGGCAGCTCATAAGCATTCCATACAAAATTGAAAGGTAAGTGCAATGCACTCCAGAAAAAGCGCGCCAAAAATTGCTATGTTACTGCTCAACACAGCTGTTTCGTTCTAACTGAGCGTTGCCACCTGAAGCCAACCAAACATATCACGACTAAAAACAATACATGCTTACTTATTTATTTTAAACAATGCATAATAATAACTAATTCTTAACATTTATTGAAATAAATTAGATTTCTTTTAATTAGAAAGTAAGATTAGAACCATTCAATGAATTTGCAAAATCAGCTGTTTGAACAATCTGGCAACACGTCAACTTTGTTATTACATTACATTTGTATTTCTGCTGCGCATTTGCCTTTTTTTTTGCCTTTGTTCGGAGTGTGTATTAGAAAACGATAATATACTTTAGAAAATACGCAAAGCTGTAAAATAAATAGCGAAACGCCTGCAACCTACACGTTTACGCAATCAAACAATTGGACGTGCAGAATAAAAATCAAGAATAATAGCACAGCACCAAAAACAACACCAAACAGGGGCGGAGAAGAAGCAGAAAGAACGGACCTGAACAAATAACAGACAAAAACAATAACAAAAAACAAAACGAAATTGCGCATATTTTCGTGGGTCGCAGCTGATTTCACATATCAAGGTCAGTAAGGTGGCAAAAAAAATCAAAATAAATAAAAACAAACAACCGATTTTGTCACAGAATATGCTCGACCTGGAAATTGTGCCTGAGATCTCGCTTGGCTGTGGTGCGTGGGAGTTTGTGCTTGGGATGCATTTCTCTCAAGCGATAGCCATTATACAGTCGCAGGTGGGCATCATAAGGGGCGTACAGGTGCTCTACTCGGATACGAATCCATTGGGCGTCGACATAATTATAAATCTGCCGCAGGATGGATTACGTTTGATCTTTGATCCGGTTGTGCAGCGTCTGAAAACCATCGAAGTGTTCAACATGAAATTGGTGAAGCTGAAATATTGCGACGTCTACTTCAATTCACCCGAAGTGTTGCCCAGCATTGAGCAGATCGAGCATTCGTTTGGAGCTACCCATCCAGGTGTTTATGATGCGGCCAAACAGCTCTTTGCATTACATTTTCGCGGACTTAGCTTCTATTTTCCCGTGGATAGCAAACTGCATTCAGGCTATGGTCATGGATTAGGCTCTCTGGTCTTTTTGAATGGCGCCTCGCCAGTGGTCTCAAAAATGGCATTGTATGCGGGCAGCAATGTGGCCGAGAATCGCGCTCCATCACTGCCATTGGCCTGCTATCATAGACAAATGTATCTGGAATCGGCCACAGTGCTGCGCACATCGTATGGTCACACAAAGGGCTTGAAGCTGAAACTCTTTACGGAGGGTTCGGGTCGAGCGCTGGAGCCACGCCGTCAGTGCTTTACGCGTGAGCTGCTCTTTGGCGATAGCTGTGAGGACGTGGCCACTAATTTGGGTGCGCCCAATCGCATCTTCTTCAAGAGCGAGGACAAAATGAAAATTCACAGCTCGAGCGTCAATCGTCAGGTGCAGAGCAAACGCAGCGATATATTCTTCAATTATTTCACCCTAGGCATCGATGTATTGTTCGATGCACGCACACAGACCTGCAAGAAGTTCATACTGCACACAAATTATCCGGGCCACTTTAATTTCAATATGTATCATCGCTGTGAATTCCAGTTCCAGCTGGAGATCGATCATCAGTCAAATGAAAGCGACAACAAGCATGATCATGTTAATATAACTGCCTACACCAAATGGGATGAGATTAGTGGATCGTTGACTACGTCGGAGCGTCCGGTAGTATTGCATCGTGCCAGTTCCACGAATACGGCAAATCCCTTTGGCTCGACCTTCTGCTATGGCTATCAGGATCTAATATTTGAAGTCATGCCCAACAATCACATCGCATCGGTTACATTGTACAATACAGCACCGCCTCGGCAGCCAGTGCATTCGTGGCAGCAGCATAAAATGCAGGACATTCGTCTGACTGTCGCCTAGAAGAAGAAAAAACAGGATCGCTGGCAGCTATGTCCTGGTTGTCCTCCTGTTTGTAATTGTGTCTGTGTGTGCGTGCCTGAGAGCGTGTTGATGATGAATTTTATCTTTAAGCAACAAAAACAAAACACAAAGAAAAACAAAAACAACAAAAACCATGATCTAACTTAGACCTTAAATGATTAGTAGTTACATTACGAGTATATATAGTTATATATATAGAATTTCTATATAGCAAGCTAAGCAAATTTATCAGATTCACTGACCATATATTATTTTTGCGGTTATCTTATTATTCCATTTATGTTAACTCGACCTCAACTTCGACTCGATTCATAAACTGACAATTAATTAGCTGCGTATATATATTTTTTAATTGCATGTCGTTAAAATATCTAAATATTTTAAGCTCAACACGTGTATTTCTCTTTAAAAAAGAAACAAAAAAACAAAAAACAAAACAAAAATCATCAAAAAAAATATATATATAAAAATATAGCAATAAGGTTTCGACAAAAAGCAATTACACCAAGTCGTTTTTCTCTTTTATCGTCACGAAGTGCTTATGTTATGTACAAATTTATGTGCCCAAACGTTAAAGAACTAATCTAATACATAGCTGAAGTTGACTGTACTCTGTTCAATGTCGCCTTTCTAGGCGATTCTGATAATCCAGCCACTCTATGGATACATGTGTTACTATCAAGCTATATAGTAAATATAATAAGATAATTCTTAACTTTTGCTATCTCAACTAGTTTTTGCATTGTAAATATTGCCTTTCTATGCGATTTTCATAAGGTCAGAATAGTAGTTATATGAAATAATAAGCTTGTAATTTTCATACGTCTCTAACTTTGCATTATTTTCAACTCTCTCTTGATGCCATTCTTTTTTTTGTAGCATTTAAACTCATAAATTCCTTTATATAAAACATCCTCATCATGCCGGAACTTAACGCAGAGCAGGAAACTCAGCCACAGGCAACGACGGAAAAGAAAGCGCCCGCCTATGACTCCAATATACTGCCAGATATGCTGCCCGTTTACTATAGACGTCTTTTTCCACACGAGCCCTTCTATCGCTGGCTTAACTATGGACATTGTAAGATCTGTAGCCTATCAAAATGTTATCTGAATTTATAAATAATTACTTACTATTCGCAGCTGAGGATAATATATTTGTAAATCGCGAGATATCATTCACTCTGCAGGACGATATCTACATACGTTATTTGTGCTTTGAGACGCAAGCGGAGCTGGAGAAGGAGATCTGTACGCGCAATCCCTATAAAATTGACATTGGACCTGTGATGAATATCAGGCCAAAGAACTTTCGCACCGTGGCAGGTGGCTTGACGCCCGTGCAGCGTGAATTGGTCTTTGATATTGATGCCACGGACTACGATGACATACGCAACTGTTGCTCAGGTGCTGAGATGTGCCTGAAGTGCTGGAAGTTTATGATGCTGGCAGCGAGAGTTTTGGATGCTGCGCTGCGTGAGGATTTTGGCTTCGAGCACATGTTGTGGATATTCTCCGGCCGTCGAGGCATACATTGCTGGGTGTGCGATCACGCGGCTCGCCATTTGGATGGACGTGCTCGAGCAGCTGTCGCTGAGTATCTGAATATACTTAGCTATACTAACAATGCGGCACGTGTTCAAATGGGCGATCGCACGCACCATAGTCTGCGACGTGCTTTGAAAATTGTGGAGCCAATGTTTGAGGAGATTGTGCTAGAGGATCAGAATTTGTTTGGCACACCCAAAGGCGTCAACAAACTACTGCAAATGGTTAGCGATGAGACAGCCCGCAATGATTTGGAAGCCTATCTGCAGAAAACCCACGGAGATGGCGCCCACTCGAAATTGATCTGGGAGAGCTTTGTGCGCTATGCCAACTCGATGCGCACGAGTGCAGCCAATGTCTGGAATCGTAAGCTGAAGCACATTGTGGAGGAGGTGCAGCTGTGCCTGCTCTATCCACGCCTGGACATTAATGTAACCAAAGGTTTCAATCACTTGCTGAAGGCGCCTTTTTGCATCCATCCAGCTACGGGCAAGGTGTGCATACCCTTCAGTGCTAGCGCCGTGGGCAAGTTTGATCCGACTACGGTGCCCACCATTTCGCAGCTATTGCATGAGATCAATGCATACGATGACAAGACGAAGAGCTATATGGATGCGCCCGAGGACAAAAGCCGCATCAAGGACTACAAGAAAACGAGCATGTTCAAAGGCGTGGTGGTCTTCGAGGAGTTTCTGCGTAAGCTGGAACGGAATTTTAAGACGAAGCCAATGGATTTCTAAACACAGATTCGATTTGAATTTGATATAGCTCTAAGCCCAAAAAATTGAAGCTTTTGGATTTATTACATACTCTTTTTTTATTATAAGCATTAGGCTACCAACAATAAATAGACTAAATGATTGAGTTCACATGCAACGCAGTCGCACCAATGGCACAATATTACCATCCTTGTCATCCCAATCCACTTCCACTTCTAGCTGAAACAGTCCGTCATCTATGGTCGGCGTCGTATCGGGCAGATGTGCCATTATTTCGTTTTGTCCAGTGCGCAGTTTGAACGAGGCCAAAGCATCGACGGCATCGCCCTCACCAGACTGGGGTAGTGTTACTTTGATCTTGGTGGGCAATATGCTGCCCTTGCTCAGAAGCAATTTGGCATTCGTCTCGTCATTGCCATGCCAAATATACAAATCATCTTCGACCAGTACACAATCATCGGCCTTTTGCAGCTGCGCCTGCCGCGGATCGAGCAGGAAGAGCGCTTGGCGAGCACAGCCAATGGCCACCACCTCGTCCGTTGAGTGGCTGTTGTGCAGCTTGGCTTCCGGATAGCGTGCAGCCACTGCTGCTTGCAGCTTAGGTATTTGCATGGTGGCGCCCAGCAGGACAATATCGTCGATGCGCTTTAGTTCCGGATGCTGCTGCTGTGCACGTTCCACACAGTCGCTCAGCTGCTGTATCAGCCCATTGATCACCGGCTGGATGAGACTCTCGAAGCGTGCTCGTGACATTTGCGCATTGTAATCAACGCCATCCATAAGGGAATCTATATACAGCTGCGTGGACGGCAGCGTTGTCAATATATGCTTGCAATTGGCTGCAGCAGTGCGAATTTTGGCCAGCGAACGACGTGACTCGTGCGGATCCAATTTGTACTTTCGCTTGAACTCCTCGCAGATGAACTGCACCAGCGCATCGGTGAATTGACGACCGCCAATAGCAAATGGCCCGAAGGTTGCCAGCTCAATGAAATATCCATTGTGCACAGCATATAAAGCAAAATCGCTATACAGTCCGCCGCATTTGATGGTCAACACATATCGACGCCCGTCCAACTGCTTCTCAAGCTGCTCTTCGCCAATTTTATAGCAAAGCACTGCAGCTGTGGGCTCGGCAATGATTTGCGCCACATGGAAACCAGCCGCCTCGGCAGCATCTGAGAGCATCTTGATCGATTTGGTCGGATAGTAGCTGGGTATGGAGAGCACGGCAATAGGGTCGTGCTCTGAATCCGTGTGATATTGTCTCGCCAGCTCTAATTCCGCGCGCAGCAGTTCGGTGGTTACTTGAAAGGCGCTCATCTCTTTCGTGACTATCGTATCGTCTTGATCATCTCTATCCGCTGGCACTGTGTGCTCCATGCGAAACACAAAGGCCTCTTTATCGTATTCACAAGGCACTTCCTTAAGCGCCAATTTTTCAAATTTATCCTCGATGAGCTCGTCTTCGGGCTGCAGCAGTTGGAAACTATGCGCCACCGCTTGCTTGGGTCGTGTGGCCATCTTCTGTTTGGCCGTCAGGCCACATTCGGTCTCGGTATCACCATTCCATAGCAAACATGCTTGCGAGACGCGATCACCCTGCTTGTTAGCTATTACTTCTGCCTTGCCATCGGCTCTTACGTAAGCAATACACAACGTGCTGTTACCAACTTTAATGCCAAACCGCGGCCACATTTCGTTGCAAATAAAATAGTGTCCGACAATGTACAGAAATTTGAGATATATTAAAAATATATAGCAACGAAATGCAGCACGCGCACGTTTTTTTTGTCAGACAGCGCGGTAATACTATCGCCACTATCGATAGTTAATAGTGTTGCAAATGATTCATAACAGTGCTGTGCAAGATATTTTTTGTGTTCGATGACAAGTATGTGAATGTGGATTGTATTTGCCTGCTAGTCACAGGATATGCACAGCTACAATTGTTATCAGTAGTCATTTGAGAATTATATTTATTAAATCTTAAGTTAAAGGTAATAAACCGAAACAGGTTTTTAGAAACTTTATAATTTAATAAACAGTATAAAGGAAGCTCTATCCTGTTAATTGTGTGGACCGTAGGCATGTTGTACAACAGAATTACTTTTGAATCAGCTGCCAACACTGCCCAACAACCAACGTTTACCAACACCACAAAAATATGTAAACAAAAATCTATACATAGTGTACGTAAAGCAGGCAACTATTGACCCCAAATACGACATAAGCGCCACCCTACCATACAGAACTGTAGTTTTTGTGTCAAGCAAACAGAACACACAGACACACACATGCAACGCAATTGACGCCCCCAAAGAAACCCCAACAAAAAAGTAACGATTCGTCATCGATTTAAGGCAAAAGCCAAACAATGGAGCGGAGGTGCATTGAAAATTAAAAAAATTCTTAATTGAAATTAAACAAAAATAGAAATACGTTTATCTAACTGCAAGAAAATGCGCATTTCGTAAACTAACTCAAATAAACAAAAGGAAAAAAGTTCGTAGCGAAACGAAATAAAACAACCTTGAAGTAAATCGCACACACACTCTCACACACACACACACAGTAGAGCCTACATAATGGATGATAATTTGAGTACCAAATCCTCGGAGTCTTCGATTACAACCAGTGGAGAATATGAGATTGTGAATGATAGCAATGTGGCTACACCACTGGAGCAATTGGCACCACCGCCAGCCGCGGCCACCGTTGCTGCCCAAGTAACCGAATCACTGAGTGCACTCGCGGTCTCGCCTGGCGTTGGCGACGCAGGCGGCGATCGGTCGCCCACTTTGGACATGGCGCACAATCGCAATCTAAGCGACATTAAGCACGAGATGACTGACGCACTGCGTGACCTGCATCTGGAACGCAGCAACCAGGCAGCTAATATAACAGGTGAGTAACTGAGCAAAGGGGAATTGAGTAATAAACACCGAAGAAGACAGCTGAAGTTCAGTTGTTTACCAGACGCCAGCTGTGCACATACGACGCTCCAAATTTTATACGCAAACGCCTTTTAAACTGAAGAGAGGGAGGTCTTAAAAGTAAGCTCAGTGCGCAATCTTATCTACCTAATGACTTCCAATGGCTGTCATGGCAACAAATACAAACAAAATATTTTAAAAAAGCTATCGAATCGAATTCCATGTTTAAGATCAATACAATATTTCCATTTAACTTTCAACCATATAAAGTCACTTTTGTCATAATAATTGCCAATTAACATTCACAGCTGGCAACGATAAGACGCGTCATCAGCAACAGCAACAGCAGCCGCCGCCGCCGCAACGAACAGAGCAGCAACAAAAATCATTGACTTTGCCATTAGCTGGTCGGAAAACACAAGCCGAAACCGCAGGCGATACTGAGATGCGCTTCAAATGTAGTCTATTCTCGCCTAAAGGCTGCGATGAATCAGAGGATGCGTCGAATTCGGAACACAATCGTGTGGGCCAATCGGTATTTTATGATTGCATCGATGCGAGTCCCGCCTGCATTGAGGAGAAACAGGACGCTATGAAGCCAGAGAAATGCGATACTACCGATGAGGAGGGTAAGCGGGAGGTCTATTTACAAAGAGCCTATTCTAAACATGAGTGTGTTTTTTTTAAATAGTTTCAGAGATCGATCAGGGCTGCACTATATTCGCCGGTGTTACCTATTTGGGCGCTGCCAATATCAATGCACCGAAGTCGGAGACAGATGTTTATCGCATCATGAGCGAACTAAACAGCGGCTCCAAATCAGTGGGCCTCAAGATCACAGTCAGCATACCTAATTGTTCCGATGGACTAGTTGTGTAAGTAATCAAGGAAAGGTGTCTAGATAGGGTTAGAATGTGTAGAATGACAAAGCAAACAAGGATTAAAATGTCTGTAATTTGCTGCCCATCACATTTACATATTATGCTCATGTTAAGCAGCTGTAATGAGCTAGCTGTTATGAGTGCTAATAGGCTATGTTAAATGGATGTAAAATCACTTAAAAGTCAGGATTAGAAGCTTAACAGAATTTCTTAAACAGATGTAAGTGACGCGCTGTTACTCACTTATGATTAAATAATGATGATACCCACGTTTAGTTGTTACTTGTTAGCGTATCGACGTAGTTAACTTCTTAAGTTTTAAATGGCTAATCTATTTGCAATAATGTTTATAATTGCAATTAGTCACATCTTAAATTTATACATCATTGATTCCAGTCTACACGATGCGGAGAGCAATACGATTATAGCTACCTATGAAATATCAAGCATTATATTGTATTATCGCGGTCCCGTGGATACCGCAGAGAATGGCTGCTTTGCTTTCACATGGTTGCATGGAGAAGCTTTATTCCAATGCCATGTGTTCCGTTGCCATATTCCTGAGGCGGTGAACCAAGTGAGCGGTGAGTGCGTCTAACCACAAAGACATAATATATATATATATATATATATCTTCATATTCATATTCATATTTTATTTTCAGCCTGCTTTCAGAAAGCTTTTCAAACGTATGCGCCCAGCATGAGCTGTAGCTTAACTTCGGCTGTGGATATGGCTAACTCGGTGACATCAGATGTTAGTGGAAATCCTTTAAATACCGCAGGATATGAATTCATAGTTTCGCTAGAAATACGCGAGAAGGTAGCTAAAAATTCGTATGCTGCAGTGCCGCGTGATCGTGGCTGCTTTAAGCTGCGTGCCAATACGGACAAGGAGGTGTGCATCACAGTCAAGCAGACAGCTTCAAATGTCCTACAGCCACTGTATATTGAGCGCTGCTTTGGCGTGCTTGTCGCACCCGGCAAACTCGTCGTGCAAAAAGATATGCATCTGATTGATATGCTGAATATGGGCTATGTGCAGGCGCCAGGGGCGAGCAGTGAGCCCGACTCGGCGAGTGCCTGCTTGAGTGCCTATGCCATACGCGCCGAGTGGAAGGCACAGGAGAAGGCATTCGAACAACTCAATCTGGAAACGTCCAAAACAAATCTTACAGTCGCTGTGGACATTGTCATGCGTGGTATACAGGAGCCGGTGCGCTTTGTC